TTTAGTGTGTTGTGAGAGTAACCTGCACGTCTTCACCGCGGCAGCTCGTGGGCTCCAGCTCTCTAATTTCGTCCAGCAACAGCTCCACTTCGTCGGTCGTGTACAACTCGCTCACAGACACGTAGCGCGCCGGCGCCGCTTGCATATCACTCACGCCTTGCCTACCGCCAAGCGCCTTCGCCCCGGCGACTCCTCATCCGCACGCACATCCTTCGCACACAGCGCGCCGCATTACCTTCTCCGGACATTTACATTAAGTATCCTTACTCGAATATGTGAACACATTACCTACTTTATCGAATATGCCGCATACTAACAAAAATGAGATTTGACCTAATAAACAAAATTATTTTAGCGACGCTCCTTAATCAGCACGCCATGTTTATTATCATTTACCAAATGTCATATGTGAAACTCATGGATTAGCAAAACGTCAACTTTGTCTATGGAATAGTTCGTTTTCTTTTTTTTTTTATTACCTACCTAAGCTGAGAGCCTTGAGAGGCTATATCAGCGTAACCGTAACTGATTTTAAACAGATGCTTTATACTCACTTCCTTATCAATTACAACGAAGAGTTCGATGTGCAACTAAACCATAGAAGACCCATTGAGTTTCTCGCTGGATCTTCTCAGTGCGTCGCGTTTCCAATCCGGAGGTGATTCTGTGATATTTTCTACCTGTTCTGGTAACCTCGAGAGTTTATACTAGATGCACAGAACTAGTAGGCGAGCTCACGTGGCTCAAACCTGACGACGATGACCAGTGCTTTAGATACCTAAAAGCACCGTTAGTGAATCGGGACAATCCGAGATGACGTGTTTAGGGCAACATCGACTGTTTACCATCCGGCCCGCAGGATCGGGAATGTAGTTATCGGCGGCCACGACGAGAGAGATTTCGTGTTGTGCCACTTTCTCAAAATGGCGCACTGATGCCGACTGTAGATACTTACTGATAAACTGGAGGTCATAACCGGACGTACTTATGCATGTTTTTTACAGTGTCACCTTATTACGAAGGGACAATTTACTTCACTTTCAAATCATCGGATAGATCTGTGAAGTACTGCTCTTGCTAGGGCCAATGTTGGCAAACTCTCTCAGGTTGAACCCATAAGCTCACCTACCGGTCTGTAAATAATTGGATTATGCCCTTAGGCTACCAACGATTAGGTAGGGAAATAAAATCGGTTGTTTGTAAAGTCAGTTTACTGACGATAGTTGAACGTGACAACGTCATAAGAAAATACTGATGGAATGGTTTCATTTTACAAAAGAAAATTTTAATTTTATTTGTTTGATAGATATTTTGTATACATTCACTTTTCACTGAACTTCTACTTGACGAAAACATGTCCACGCGGATGCATCGCTCACTCAAGTAGGAAAGAGACATGTCGAACGCTGCCGAACGCGGAGGCCGATTGTGCCTCTTTGTCGCTCGTTGCGCGCTCTCGCTTGCACTTCAAGCCTTAAATGGAACGCCTCAATTAGTCATGTTTTTTCGTGCGTGCAGCCGGCTCCATCGAATTATAAGACGTTGTGAAGTCAAAAATATACTTACTACAAGGTTTAATGCATGTAAAAACAATGTCAACTGGCAGTATGGTGTATATTATTATTTTTATTTTTTATTGCTTAGATGGGTGGACGAGCTCACAGCCCACCTGGTGTAAAGTAGCTATTGAAGCCCATATACATCTACAACGTAAATACGCCTCACACCTTGAGATATAAGTTCTAAGGTCTCAAGTATAGTTACAACGGCTACCCCACCCTTCAAACCGAAACGCATTACTGCTTCACGGCAGAAATAGGCGGGGTGGTGGTGGTACCTACCCGTGCGGACTCACAATAGGTCCTACTACCAGTGATTACGCAAATTATAATTTTGCGGGTTATATTACGAGTAATATACTGAAATTGTTGCTTTTAGTGAAAAACAGGATTCTTTGTACGACGTTAGGTCGTTAATTTATTAAATTGAATTTTGATTAAGCTAGATTTAGGCTTACGGATAGGGATGGTTAGTTCGCTGGTCAAGCCTGACGTCGTAATTGAAGAGTTCGATGAGGACGGTGACCGGTTTTTGAGAAACCTAAACACACCGAGTGGAACCGGGGGATCCGACATGTTTCAGGCGACGCTACTTTGCGTTGCCCCGTCGCCTGGGTCGAATATGTAGTTACATGGCCAAGATATTATTGGATATGGATGGGTATTAGTGGATAATGGCGACGCACTGCTGCATCGAAGTAGCAACCAGTTGTAACTTTGGATTAAAATAATATAAATTCACTTTAATTCTTTAATTAAAAAAAATTGTATGTATCACAGCTACATATAAAATAACAAATAAACGATTGGCGCTCACACTGCGCTGTACTTATACAATACGTACTTACAAATATCATTCAAGCCTCTCTGTTAATACCGTCTATAACGCAAACTCTGATTACAGTGTGAAGCTGCCCCTTGCGTCTCGGCGCGCTCAGGCGTTACGGTGCTCGGTCACGTCTCGGGCGCCTTCACCACGTACACATACTATACGACTATTAATCCTTGCATACATACAAATGGTCATCTTGGATGCATCCTATTACTAAGCATAAAGGACCCTAAAAGCCGTGGTTCTCAAATCGACCATCCATGTCATACTATCTTAGTGCTAACGGGCTGCGTAACAACTAAATCTGCACAGGTGAGTAACCCGTGAAAATCTTAAGATTAATCTTACAATTATTACCAAACTGTCCCAAATCACACATAAGATCACATTTCTCAAACAAAAAAATTAAACAATCATAAAAAAAACCGACAGGTTCTTGTCAACCTTTGCAATACGGTTCTGACTAGTGATCAGTACCTAGTGATCAGCTTGCACAGGTTAATTGAAAACCTTTTGATTTTGCTGTTTGTTGTCACATTGTAAAAAACAACACAAAGTTTTTTGAATCTTAAAGACTACACCTTTTTGAAAAGACACCTTGCCAACTTCAAAATTCATCCGATCAAACAATATTAAAACATTTACGCTCCTAGTTTGGCGGCAGTATTCAGTTCACCTACTAATAGACAAGCTAAAACTTTGTGAGGATAATCAAAACAATAATGGGCTTCCACTAATATTCGCAATGTAATGATTGATGGGTAACAATAGTGACGAGCTTCGTTATTGATCAATATCATGTATTTATAACATAAAAACTACGTGGATAATTACTTGGTACAACTAGGTACAATGGTGTGAACAAAAATAATTCTTATTTTAGCCTTATGACACATAAAGATATAAAAAGCTAACCGCATTGACATTTTAGTGCAAAATATTTAAAATACAGATCGTTCACCGTAAGTTGTCCCCTGCCGTGATGTTGGCACTATTACTTGTCATTTTTGTCAATCTGTTGTTGTCAGATTGTTTGTTGTGACGTGTACCGTTAGTTTTTGTGTTAATATTTAATATCCTTCAAATTAATCATGCCAAAGCCATTTAAAAACAGTGCAAGAGAGACCGTGTTGAAGGTTCGTGCCTTTTATGAGAAAGAAAAAGCAAACCAAGCCCGTTAATTCGACTCGATCAAGTGCGAGCACGAGTCGCCGCCATGACAGGTTAGTAAAATGGGGATACAAGCTTCAGACACAATGCCTTTAGTATGGGTAATAAGAATTTACTGACATAAAGAATTAAAATAAAATAAAAACTCTCTTAACTTAACTCCAAATGCAAGAATGGATTACAAATAAGGAATTGTCTTATTTACCAACAATGTTGAAAGCAGAGCTTTATCAAATTACAAAAGAACACAAAGAAGCACCCATTTATGAGGCTGACCAATTATTGATAAGTCATAGCCATAAAGTGGTTAGGTTGCCCCCTATCACTGTGACTTAAATGTTATTGAGTTTATGTGGAGTCTTTTAAAGAGACGAGTAGCTAGCAATAATGTCGGCCAAGAAGCTGGTAATATCGTGAAGTTAACTGAAGAAGCTTTTTCATCAATAACTCCTCAGGATTGGCAAAAACAGTGTGAACACGTAAAACATTTAGAAGACAAATTTTATGAACGTGATGGCTGCATGGATAATATTACGGATAAATTCATAATTGAACTAGGAAACGACAGCAGCAAGATTCGGATACGTCAGACGACGCTTATGCAAGTGACAGTGATATGTCTGGAATCGTTTCTTTCGACCATAATTACTGTGAGGAAAAATGAAATAAATAAATAATTTAAAATTTAAATTGTGTAATAATTTACAACCTGCCCAGTCTTTTAGCTATATATTATCTAGACATATAATAAAAATAAGCCAGGTCGATATCTGTACTTTGAAGATATTGAAGAAAAACTAATATAGGGGGTCTTTATTAGAGCAACAGAAGCCAAAACAATAATTTTACATTACACACAAGATAATGGGGGTAAAAGATACATATATTGTTTGCAACACCGTTGGCAATGCTACCAACTCTCAAGGCAGGGGACATCTTATGGTGAACGGTCTGTAACTATGTTTCAAAAACATTGTGGATGCCAGCTCTGACGCGCGACTGGAGTTTACTGTTTATGCGCGATTTGAATACATAACAGGCAAAGGGACAAATAAACTGATCGCTTATAATACTAAAAGTAGGTATGTACATTTATTCTTATTCACATAATAATATTATATTGATTCAGTTAAATATTATACACAAATCGTCTTTTCGCATTAAAAGTGTATAATTTCCAAAAATATTCAAAATTGAGTTAATATGCGGAATCATTTGGTATCACCGGTATTTTTCTCATAAATACTGTCAAAAGAGCGTAGATTAGTTTTTTTTTTTTTTTTAGTTTACCCGTATTTTGACTACTATTAACAAAATTAATACATAATTATCTTACTTTATTTTTAACTTTACTATTATCTTTTTTTTACTGTACTATTATCTTACTTTAAAAGACAGATAATGTAACTGGTAAAAAATAATGAATAAATGTTGCAAAGATGACTAATATTAAAAATATCACATGTTAAACCTTTAAAACACTCTCCTGTAAAATTAGTAAGTTTTGAGATTATACAATTTTAATGCGAGAAGACGAAATAATACTCGTGTTCCCATCTATTGTGAGGTGCTATATATGTTATTTATAATTGCTTAGACATCATCATCGGATTAAAGTGATGAAATAAATGACTTTGGACTAACATTTCTTACATTGTTAATATTACTCAAATCATCATTACTGCAATTTATGCTGAATCATTAGCTAACAGTCTGTAGCGCAATAGAAATGTCAAGTAGATGTTGTAGTGAACTTGACGGTACATGGAACCCGACAGTTGGATACAATACGCTTGACGTTTATGTGTTTTAGCCAAGTTTATCAGTTTACTTGAATGAAAAAGATAACGCTCGATTTTATTTAACATAGTATAACTTCGTAAAATGAAAAATATTCTTATGAAATAAAGCAAAAAACAAAAACAAGTAGTAGCTATAATCTACAAAAATATGAACTAGTCAATAAAAGTTAAATTATAACAAAACATCGAAATGATTACTTAAATGCATAAAATGAGGTAACGGCTTATTCGTCGGTCAAAGGTGGTCTACGTTAGTCGATCCTACGACTTGCACTTTAATGTCTATTTATCCACATTTTATTAGTTTAGACAGCAGCCTCACAGCCCTACTGATATCAAGACTGGCTACATTTTCTGCAATATTCTTTACAAAGTTACAGATACAATTTGCACGATTGGAAGGCAATGAGGTGTAGATCCGCAGGGGATGTTGTATAAATCGGCAAAAGACAAGGCATTGCAATGGTATTGCAATGGTTTAATAAAGTAGTAGGAATTTCTCGACACCCCTAAGTTAAACGGTATTATGTAAGTACTGGCATTTTTAATGTCAAGCACGACATTTCATATACCTGCTGCCGGGACACGAAATTATATATTTAAAGCGATAATGTACTCTCAGTACCATACCCCCGGGTCTCATTGTGCATCTCCCTCTACCATACACGCCCTAGGCACAATTCATTACTCTTTTCAGGTAGTCAATTATCAACTGACACGTCACTTTACATACACGCACACACACACTTAATTACAATTATTAATTACGAAATCGATAAATTTCAGCCGAAGTCATATAATGTAGATTATGTAACGTCAATTAATAAGACCAAGTACGAGATCTATGAATGTTCAGAGCGGTTCGAAGCCGGGCGGGGGCTGTATGTTGTGCAGAAAAAGGAAGGGAGGCACACAGGGAGGCCAGAGGAGGGGCGGGGGTGGCGGCGGGGGCGACGGGGGCGCGGGGGGCGGCGGCGTGGGCGGCCTGTCCACGGGCACGTGGCGGCGGTAAGCCTCCACATAGTCAAGGTCGATCCCGTCGCGCAGATACCGGTGGATGTCCTCGTAGTTGGGCGTGTCTCCGGACTCGAGCGCCTCGAATACCGGGTACAGGTAGGTCTCGGGCGTCTGCAAGCGTAATGCGACCGGTACAGACGGGGCACGGCCGAGGTTATATACCGGCGGCTGTACCCCAGCCCCCGCACACCCCCTCATTCCGCTAAGCTCAACGACGTTGCAAAGCTTCCGGATATAACCTCGCCGCCGCCGCGCGTCCGTGTCACGCACAGGTTAGCACACAGCCGTAGCAGCTCGTGGGAACAAGTGCACTGAGCTTTAGTCTCTTTCTAGCTAGCTTCGGGTCTCTACACAATCAATTTGGCATCAATGTTACATACCTATGTATATTTGAGCACAACTTTTAAAAATAATTCAGGCGGATAAACTTTGCAAAGCCGAAGCTAGCCGATTCAGGCTGTTGTATGTAATAACAATAATTTTCAAACTAATTTACTAAAACGCAAAATCATACTGACGTTAGATAAGTTTTCGAAAATGGATGGTCATCATGGGGTCAACGTGACCGGGGTGCAGCCGTGCCCGAAGATATAACGGTCATTTATTTTTATTTCAAAATAAATAGAATCATTTTATTCGCTATAGACCGGAGGCTTAAGTACATGTTTCTTGGAACCGCAATGTACACTGAAGACAGCAGTGGAAAGCGAAGTTCCGTGCCCAAAATTCCAATTGTGTGTGAACACGTGCTGGCGTGTTCTTGAACAGAACCACCATAGCACATCTCTCGATATCTCCGCGATAACTAAACTGGATTATGTTGATTCTTGTTGTTATCGCTCGGGTTCGGGATTATTTTTAATTTGGTTAAGATCTGTTAAGTATTCCCGACCTCAATTATTAACATTGTTATCACGTCACGTGAGTCAGTGCCACCAATATGTAATAACCCTAGGGATTTAAAAAAAGCTAAATACTCATTTTGCATATTCTTTAAAATTTTGATTTACAATAAAGCAAACTATAACAAACTGGACGGTATTGTTTAATTAATCTTAAATTAATTTATAGTTAAAAAAATGATTTCTCATGAATAGTTCCAGCATTTGTATTCCAATAATATACGTCCATAGGCCTGGATGTGGGTGGGCAGAATGGCGCTGAGTGATTGCCTCGGGCGGGACTTGGATGAAAGCGTGGAGGTTGAGGATGAAAGAGAATATTTAAATAATTTGCGTAATTACCTCTTGAGAGTCCGCGCGGGTAGGTACCACCACCCTGCCTATTTCTGCCGTGAAGCAGTAATGCGTTTCGGTTTGAAGAGTGGTGCAGCCGTTGTAACTATACTTGAGATCTTAGAACTTATATCTCAAGGTGGGTGGCGCCTTTACGTTGTACAAGTCTATGGGCTCCAGTAACCACTTAACACCAGGTGGGCTGTGAACTCGTCCACCCATCTAAGTAAGAAAAAAAAATAGAATTTACAATAATATTTAAAAATATATATATTAATATTCCATAATAAAATTAAAACTGATCAATTAAACAAAAAAGTTAGATCTAGCACTACTAATATTTTTGATGGCCGATACGAAATGTTATCTACGTAGGTTACAAGAGGAACTGATCGAGAGGCCACTCGGCTAACGGCACTCGCTATTCTTAGGGCTTTTTTAGTTTTTAACACGAACGCCACGCGACCCACCGGTGGGCCTAGCGTACTGTGGCATTCAGGCCAAAATCAGGGAATCAGTATTTTTTATCAACTTAAGATTTTCCTTCTAAAATTTAAAAATGCGATAATTTGCACGGAAGATATTGCGACTTTTTTGCGTTAAAAGGCTATAATCTTGATTAAAACTATAAGTTTCTGTTGGATTTGAAAACCAAGGCGTTCGGTTCAGCTAAAGGGCCACGCGGTTCACTTCCGTATGCGTTTTGTTCGATAGCTAGGTACAATCTGTGGCTTGTAGGACTCACGGGTGACCTTCGTGGCCCGAACGCTTCAGTAAGATGAGGCTCACCGGTGAGCACCGCGGCCTAAATGCAAATACTTGGTTATTCATGTGGCGTTCAACGTGTTAAGCTTTAAATTTGTACATTTATTTTCTTGCAAAATCTTTAAAAATGTTGAATCAATTTACTGTTGGATCTTATGAAGGTTATCCGTTGTCTGTGTTGTGTGTTCATGTAGATGTGCGTCATTCGGGTTTGCGAGGGTGTCTTCAAATAAATCAGTACTGAACAAATTCTCGTAGTCGTCATGGCCTAAAGCGTACTTGTATCGAGCGATGTTACTGAGCTGATGTCTTGTGATTAAAAATAAACTTTGCGCAATCACTAAACCATTGAGACATGTCTCAAGTGGAGATGCCTGTGGGGGGCAGCGGACGGGCCCGCGGCCTATTGGTATAACGCCAATTGGAACATTTACGTCCTCAAGTAACGGCTCGTTGCATGCTGTACTGACTGTACTGCTTAGATTGATTCCCGCTAACTATTTAACTTTTTACTCAGAGCCAACTTGTGTCTCAGAAACCTGTTGGTGACGTCGGGCGCGGCCGGGACTGCTTTGACGCGAGAGTGCAGAGCTTTGATCCGAGCCAAGCGAGACGACGACGCGTCCGACAGAACCGACTGTGCGTCCGGACACTCCCACTCCTGCATGCGCTGCGGCGAGCGCCCCACCAGCTCGGAGGCCGAGGCGGACACGTCGCTGCAGGCGTCGCGCTCCGCCCCGGGGCCCGCGGGCCGCAAGCCCGACAGCGCGCCCAGCAGCGAGCGCAGGTCCAGCCGCGGCGGGGACACACTCACCGTGAGCGCGGAGTCGGCGCGGGGCTCGGCGTGCCCGGACTTCACCAGCTCGCCCGTCACGCACACGTCCTCCTCGCCACTGGTGTCGATCAGGAACACCTCCATGATGTTCTCCTGCAAGCAGCGTCCTGTGCACTGCCGCGACTGCCGCGACTGCCGCGCCGCAGGCGAGCGGCGGCGAGGGCGTGCACGAATTCAAGTAACAACCATAACGCAATGCCATTTTTTGCGCTTGTAGTCAGACAACTGTGGTGGTAATTGATCACCATCGCTCATGGATGTCAGCAATACCGAAGGTACAGCCAAGACCCTGCCTCCAGCCGAGGACACGACATAGCTCTCAGGAAGCCCCGGAATAATTAATTTTAAAGATGAATGACAAATGAGATCTGAAATTCCCCCATAGACCCACTAACTCAATTAGGAGCAGGAGACTACACAGAGCGATAAAGATTTTAGTAAAGATCGTGTCACATGAAGGTCGGGAACCCTCCACAGACCGGGCTATGAGCACAGGCGTATTACATACTAGTGATGGCAGAATGATGCTCCGAGTAGTTTTTTTTTTTATTGCTAGATGAGTGGATGAGCTCACAGCCTACCTGGTGTTTATTGGAGCCCATAGACTTTTACGACGTAAATGCGCCACCCACTTTGAGATATAAGTTCTAAGGTCTCAAGTATAGTTACAACGGCTGCCCCACCCTTCAAACCGAAACGCATTATTGCTTCACGGTAAAAATAGGCAGGGTGGTGGTACCTTCCCGTGCGGGCTCACAAGAGGTCCTACCACCAGTAATAAAATACTCCGCTCCGCTCCGCTGTATACGTGTCGTTGGTTGAAAACTTATTTATTAATACCTAATTTTATATATATAGATATATCGACATAGGCTACCTGGTGGTCCACGGCCACGACGTGCGCCACGAAGGGCGTGTCCCGCACGAGGTTTAGGAAGTGCGCGGCGGCGGGGCGCGGCCAGCGGCGGCCCCGGGCGGCGGGCCGGGCGCCGGCCAGGCGGGCGCGCCACGCCTGCNNNNGGCCGCAGCTCGGCCACGCGCGCGCGGCTCACCGTGCCGTAGTCCACGTGCCGCACCTTCACCAGGTCGGCGTCCAGCAGCTGCACGATGAGCGCGCGGTGCCAGTGGGCGGCGTACAGCGCGGCGACGTAGTGGCCCGCCCGCACGGCGCCCACCGCCAGCCGCCGCGCCGAGCCCGCGCCGCCCGCCCCGTAGTACGCGCTGCAACACGCGCCGCCATCAAATATCTTCTCGACATTATAATGGCACATTTTACACGCTTTTAAAACCCGTTTCGATAAAAAGAAATGAATTTTCCAAATAAAAAGGTATTCTTTTTAGTATACGATTAAAATGTCCCTCGCAGTAAGCTGCGCTGCACTCACTTCATTTCGTCCATGATGTTCTCCATGGCAATGTTGTAGTGGTCCCCGAGCCGGATGAGCCAAAAGTGCGAAGGGGAGTACACCTCCCCCACCAGCACCTCGAGCAGCGCCCCGGGCTCCGCGCACGGCCCGGGCGGCGGCACGCTCTCCATGTACTGCAGACAGTCCGACGGGAACACGTCCGGGTCCTGGACACACATCCTTCACACTGACAAGGAAGGATACTCCCCGTTCACTACCCGGGGCGCACACCGGGTCCTTACACAATCCCTTAATCTTTTTACAATCGAATCCCTGCTCCGAAACACATATTTATAACTAGCAACCCGCCCTCGCTTCGCTTCGGAAACATTAAATTTTATTACTGATAGCTGAGTCCCGCGATGTTACCCGCGGTTATTGTCGTATCGCGGGTGACGCCGCGGGGCAAAGCTTGTCTAAAAAAAGTAGCTTAAATTACTCCTTATATCATCAGCTATCTATCAGTGAAAGTCCCGTCAAAATCGGTCCAGCCTTTCCAGAGATTAGCCGGAACAAACAGACAGACAGACAAAAATTGTATAAAATGTTATTTTAGTGTATGCACCGTATACATATTCATATGCATGTAGTAAAAAGAGGCTATTTCAATATTACAAACAGACACTCTAATTTTATTTATATGTATAGATTAACATACAATATATATAGTAGTCTCAAATAAAATAAACCTCCTATAGTTCGTTCGCGTTAAGAATGCAATGAGTCATTATTGTTCGCCGGCCTAACCCCACCCCTAACCGATCAAATCTTTTCAAATAACAAGGTCAAGTTCACAGCGACCAGTTGAAGACATAGCTTTGAACGCAACGGTTGTGCCCTGTATTTGTGTTAACTAATTTATGTGTATTATCTATGTGAATTATATATTTTTTAAATGAATACCTCACCAATTCGTAAAAATAAAAGCGGTTCGGTAATTCAAAGTGGAAAGAGAAAAGTTACAATCTTTTTAAGTATTTTAAACAGTTTGATGTAAATGTGACTATGGACAGCATAGTACAAATATTTTAAGACGCAATTCGTTTAGTATACGCTGATCGATGGAAGAAATGCTGCGACCACGTCTCTTACAAGAAGAAAATACCAAGTGGTAATTAGATGACGTCATTGAACTCGCTGCAGAAAATTCTTTTATTATAAACACTAACGAGGATACTAGTAATAGTAATTAAAATATTAATGACTTAATTTTGATTTTTAGCTTTTAAATGTATTTTTTAAATTCATCAAACTTAATCTTTAAAAATATAATTTGTTTGAATTTTAACACCACTGTGAATACACCTTTACCCTGCAGTTGCACTGGTGACTCACTGCATCTTAACGCGATCGAACTATATACGAGCTTGTTGAGGTGAGACGAACGATTTTACTGGTGGTAGGGCCTCTTGTGAGTCTGCGCGGGTAGGTACCACCGCCCTGCCTATTTCTGCCGTGTAGCAGTAATGCGTTTCGGTTTGAAGGGTGGGGCAGCCGTTCTAACTATACTGAGATCTTAGAACTTATATCTCAAGGTGGGTGGCGCATTTACGTTGTAGATGTCTATGGGCTCCAGTAACCACTTAACACCAGGTGGGCTGTGAGTTCGTCCGTGCAACCTTTTTTTTTTTTATTGCCTTTGTAGGCAGACGAGCATACGGCCCACCTGATGGTAAGTGGTCACCGTCGCTCATGGACGTCAGTAATGCCAGGGGCCGAGCCAAGCCGCTACCTACCATAAAGTACTCTCCGCAAGCCTCGTTTGAAGAAGGACATGTCATAGCGCTCGGAAAACACCGTGAAGGGGAGCTCATTCCAAAGCCGGATGGTACGTGGCAAAAAAGATCTTTGGAAACGCACTGTCGATGAACGCAGCGGTTCCAGATAATATGGATGAACTCTGCTCCAGTGGCGGGAGGTGCGATGATAAAAAGGAGATGAGGGGATCATCTCGAACATCAGGACGGATACAAACAGTAGATGTGAAAGGTAATAGATCTTCAGGTACCTTGTTGAAAATGGGTGTACCTCAGGGTTCCATTTTGGGTCCTTTTTTATTTCTAATATATATAAACGATTTACCTAGTTTTATTGAATCCCGACACGAGGTCGTATTATTCGCAGATGATACATCTTTATTATTTAAAATTAAACGACAATTACAANTTAGCTGGCTTATAAAAGTCATCTCTTGTTTCTCTGGCGACAATCGAGATCCATTCTGCACACGTGATTGCTAGGAAAGCTAAAATAAAAATGGAAAGCTAAGTATCTAATGAGAGTCCAACAAACAGACACAAAAGCAGCATTAACCAATTTTAACCAACTAATTTTGAAGTACTGCTAACAAATTTTAAAAAATTATTACAACTCAAATCTACTCCATGCATTTACTGTTCTGTTAAGCAAAAGTTTATCCATGTGTTGGCCGAGTCTTGGTCAACATTTGTAGCGGTGGTTAAAAATCGGTAATTTTGTTCAAAATTTAATATTCTTTATAAGTTTAAAGCTTAAAATATAGTTTATACTTCATGTACTTACCGAAAGTAAGATACTCCGGCCGTTAAATTGCTTTTTCGGGCCTTATTTTTGCAACTTTTGAATACACACTGCGGTATTGTGAGACGGGTTGACATTGGCTGTGCATGAAGTGAACTAAACAAAATAAGAGCTCACATTTCAAGTGAGCTGTTATTAGACGAGACGGATTTTCTGCACCGACCCGAAATCTAGTTACTATTGTTGATCGAAGTTTGAACGCAACGGTTGTGCCCTGTATTTGTGTTAACTAATTTATGTGTATTACCTATGTGAATTATATATTTTTTAAATGAATACCTCACCAATTCGTAAAAATGAAAGCGGTTCGGTAATTCAAAGTGGAAAGAGAAAAGTTACAATATTTTTCAATATTTTAAACAGTTTGATGTAAATGTCACTATGGACAGCATAGTACAAATATTTTAAGACGCAATTCGTTTAGTAGACGCTGATCGATGGAAGAAATGCTGCGACCACGTCTTACAAGAAGAAAATACCAAGTGGTAATTAGATGACGTCATGGAACTCGCTGCAGAAAATTCTTTTATTATAAACACTAACGAGGATACTAGTGATAGTAATTAAAATATTAATGACTTAATTTTGATTTTTAGCTTTTAAGTGTATTTTTTAAATTCATCAAACTTAATCTTAAAAAATATAATTTGTTTGAATTTTAACACCAGTGTGAATACACCTTTACCCTGCAGTTGCACTGGTGACTCACTGCATTTTAACGCGAACGAACTATATACGAGCTCGTTGAGGTGAGAAGAACGATTTTACTGGTGGTAGGGCCTCTTGTGAGTCTGCGCGGGTAGGTACCACCGCCCTGCCTATTTCTGCCGTGTAGCAGTAATGCGTTTCGGTTTGAAGGGTGGGGCAGCCGTTCTAACTATACTGAAATCTTAGAACTTATATTTCAAGGTGGGTGGCGCATTTACGTTGTAGATGTCTATGGGCTCCAGTAACCACTTAACACCAGGTGGGCTGTGAGCTCGTCCATCCAACCTTTTTTTTATTGCCTTTGTAGGCAGACGAGCATACGGCTCACCTGATGGTAAGTGGTCACCGTCGCTCATGGACGTCAGCAATGCCAGGGGCAGAGCCAAGCCGCTACCTACCATAAAGTACTCTCCGCAAGCCTCGTTTGAAGAAGGACATGTCATAGCGCTCGGAAAACACCGTGGAGGGGAGTTCATTCCAAAGCCGAATGGTACGTGGCAAAAAATATCTTTGGAAACGCACTGTCGATGAACGCAGCGGTTCCAGATAATATGGATGAACTCTGCTCCAGTGGCGGGAGGTGCGATGATAAAAAGGAGATGAGGGGATCATCTCGAATAATTACTCAGAGCATTCCCCATGGACCATGCGGTATAAAACACAGAGAGAACCGAAGTCCCTCCGTAGACCCAGAGGTTCCAAGCAATCCGCGAGAGCAGGACTATCGACCATCCGAACAGCCCGTTTCTGTATGGAGTCAAATGGAAATAGCTGGTATTTGGGAGCCCCGGCCCAGAGGTGAGATCAGTACTCCACGCGAGGTCGGACCTGCGCTTTATAAAGCGCAAGTCTCTGTCCAGGCGTGAAATACCGCTTCGCTCTGTTGAGGACTCCCAACATTTTAGAGGCCAATTTGGCTTTACCTTCCAAATGACTCCGAAACTGGACATCGCTCGAAATATCGACCCCCAGAATCCCGATACTCGCGGAAAGCTGCAAGGATACTCCTTGAAATTCCGGCGCCATGAAAAAAGGATCCTTCTTCGCAGTGAACGCGCAAACCTGTGTCTTCAATGGGTTGAACTGAACTGAATTCAGTTCACCCCACTTGGAGACCCGCCCCAGAGAGTTCTCCACTTCAGACACAAGTTTTAATCGCCTCTCGTGTACAACGCTTCGAGAGAGACTCTGATGGCCGATATATCGCGCATTCCCCGTGCTATCATCCGCATAGCAATGCATGCCATCAATAGATAGCATGTCATTGATATGCAGTATGAAAAGCGTGGGGGAGAGCACCGAACCTTGTGGAACACCAGCGTTGATGGTCATGGTATCGGAGCAGCAGCCGTCGACGACAACTGTGACGCTCCGTCCATCTAAAAAGCTAGCGATCCACTTGCAGAGTCCCTCAGGGATCCCGTAAGCTGGAAGCTTCGATAGAAGTGCCCTATGCCAGACCCTGTCGAAGGCCTTCGCGATGTCAAGGCTCACAGCGAGAGCCTCGCCCTTGCTTTCCAAGACTTTAGCCCATTTATGTGTGAGGTATACAAGAAGATCGCCAGCTGAGCGACCATGACGGAAACCGTACTGCCGGTCACTGATCAGCTGGCGATCCTCAAGATACTTAAGAAGTTGGATGTTTATGATTCGCTCCATCACCTTGGAAAGCAAGGAAGTTATCGCGATAGGTCTGTAATTCGAGGGGTCCAACCGGTCACCCTTTTTGGGGATAGGGTGGACATGAGCAGTCTTCCATGAAGACGGAACCCTGTTGGTATTGTACGAGAGGCGATATAGACGCGTTAGCGCGGGTGTCAATTCAGGGGCGCATGTTTTTAGAACCACTGCGGGGATGCAATCCGGCCCCCTCGACTTATGGACATCAAGAAGCCGAAGCTCCTGCCTGACCGCACGCTGTGTGATGCGAATCTCAGGCAAGGAGCTGTCACACCGGGAGATGTTGGACGGCGTGGCTCCTCCGTCATCCAAAGTCGAGTATGAGGCAAAGAGCTTGACCAGAAGGTCAGCCTTCTCCTTCGCACTATGAGCCAGACTGCCATTGGAAAAATACAACAACTACTACTACTGACATTTGACAAGTACATAATTTCAATAGTANAAACTGTTTAGAATTTGCATTATATGTCATGTCGCCGCGTGTAGAGTAAGGACGCTGCAGATATGGGCGAGACGTGAGGCGATTAGTAAATCTCAAAAGAAAAAAATTACAAAAATTGTGTCAAAAAATGCTATAAATTTCAACTGTTCATAGGCCGAGCTGTTGAACCTTTTTTTATGATTGAAAGATTACTGGTGGCTCGGAGGCCTTTCCAGTTTCACCAGGACAGGTTGGCGAGCAAAGGCTCAGCCAGGAGCGGTGGGATTTGCTAACAACTGCCCGAGCGCCTCCGAAGGAGACCTAACAACTCAAGAGCAATTGCTTCGCGAATTAATCTACTACCGGATCGGAATCGCGACCCGCTGAGAAAATCCGGCGAGAAACTCAGCTGATGCATGGGTTAGGTTGCACGGCGACCTCTTTATCGAGTTCGACGAGTACGGTTACCGGGGTTCCTCAGCCTGCTCCTAGCGTTACAGTTGAAGGTATCTAATGCAAGAGTTATTGGATCTGATGGATCCGTAAGGCGTGTCTAGGGCGACGATGGTGACTTGCTCCTGTGTGATCAGGATTCGGGGAATAGTCAGCGGCGGCAATGATAAGGTGATTATCATGACGCATAGCCTTATCGAAGTAACGTTCCGACACTGACTTCATGTGTTTGCGGATCGATTCGAGGCCCAGGTCAACGTGCAGGTTTTTTTTTTTTATTGCTAGATGAGTGGACGAGCTCAAAGTTCGGTCGACGTTCCTCGCGAACCACGGAGCCCCGACGGCTAACTAGCAAAGGCGGGATTGTAGGGATTGGAGAGTGTCTGTGTGCGTGGGCCGCGTGAGCGAACACCACACTCGTGTAAGTCATGATCTGTTGAACCTGTATTTGTGCTCATGGATGCTCAACATAGTAACCGAGCAAACTTCACGAGTATACCTTGCAGAGAAACTTATGCAAGCAGCTGCCAAATGTCGCACCTGTACAACCCTATCAGGTCCGTGCACCAGATGCCCTCCGGATGTTCCGCTACCAGATCGTAAATTTCTCTCTTCAAATTTTCCAATTTAACCAACTTTGAACTGCTCGTACCTGGATAAATCGTAATTTACAATTACATGATAATATCCTATATTAGGTACATTTTTATAACATTTTTCGGATAGTAAAAATGAAAATCAGCTTTTTCGTGCCTGACGGTACAATTGTAACGTGCAGTGATGTAGGTTACGCGAACATTAGGACGCGCACTCACTAGCAAATCTGTTTCGGCTGTAAAATATATACATACATATCCTGGACCAAAAAAATTCCAATCCATTTGTAGAAGGCAACAGGGACACAGTCCAGGCCATCGGATATGTTTACCAACTTGTTTACACATTGTCCTGTAAAGGGAATCGTATTCTCGACCAAGACTTTTTAGGTAAGTATAGGCCAACGTTCAGAAGTGTGGTAATCATACACTATTACTGGGGAATGCGGCTAATAATAATTAAACATATTATAATTAGTGATTATATTATACCGGGGAGGTCAGAGTCGATTCACTTTCAACGGACTTTCGGGACGGAGTGAATGCTACAGATTTGCGAGAAGGGATTTACTTAGGTTTTTTTTTATTGCTTACATGGGTGGACGAGCTCACAACTCACCTGGTGTTAAGCGGTTACTGGAGCCCATAGACATCCACAACGTAAATGCGTCACTCACCTTAAGATATAAGTTCTAAGGTCTCAAGTATAGTTACAACACCACCCTTCAAACCGAAACGCATTATTGCTTCAAGGCGGAAATAAGCAGGGCGGTGGTACTTACCCGTGCGGACTCACAATAGGTCCTACCACCAGTTAGGTCGAACATCTGTTTGGAACAGGGCATTATTGAACCGAGTTCCGGTGAGTGATCTAGTCACTCCTCGTACCTACGCACCGTGACGTCACCCGGGAACAGTCCCGGGCGCGGCGCCACGCGAGTTCGCATCAGGTCCGGAATGACGGACCTCGGAATGGAATACTTGTCCGATTAACGACGTATATACTCACTTGAAGAAGACTGTCTGCCGGAATCGTTATCTTGCGAGGAGGTCCTGCCAGTACTCTCGTTACCCCAACTGCTTTCGCAGTCATAGGCCGGTATTCTCTTCCTCATAAAACTTCGTAGTGCATCTTGAGAACAAATCGTCGAGTCTTGGGTACTGACTCGGTGCTGAGGTGTGCTGTCCGCTGAGTCAGTATTGTCAGTCAGTTTCAGTTCAACCATTTTTTTCTCTACAGTGTTTTCCACATTTTTGGTCGCGGCTGCTTTCGGTTTAGTGTTTGGATTCATTTCTGTTTCTTTTTTGGCGATGAATGTATTAACTATCAAGTCATTCATTGGCACACTTTGTCTTTTACCTTTCCTGTAAATTAAACAATCTGTGTTGACAATATGACAACAGAAGTACACATCAGGAGTTCGCTGTCCGTGACCGCGAGCCTCACATCAGTTTAACGTTTGAAGTTTTGGGCCTTATTAGTTTAACGCACGTATCGGAGTCATGATTATAGGTTATCTTGTATGGTCGTGCTGAGTGGTGAGCAATTGGAGAGGCCTATGTCCAGCAGTGGACTGCTATAGGTTGATGATGATGATGATGATTTGCTGTTATTTTATTCCGTTTTGTATAGTTTTCAGTAAATAACAAGCAAGACTGAAGTTCTTTTTGGTCCATATTTTTAACTTAAGAACACTTTAACGTTGCGTGACGTTACATTCTCCTGTCAGCCAGTCTTTAAGATATTGTAAGAGAAATACGTCCCCAGCCTCCGGTCTCGGCAGTTCGACCTCACGTGTGAGACACGCGTGTTATCGCTAGGACGCGACTCCTCCCATAGTACTTATTTTATATATTGGTATATCGTGGTTTAGTTCAATTCCGATGGTTAAAACCTCACAAATCAATTATACTTACACTCTGACATTGGTGGGAGCCTTTTGCTTCCTAACAAATTTATCGATGTGTTTGAGATTGTCAGGAACTATCAAAGTGAGCACAGGGTTGCTTGATACTCCTCCAAACTGTAAATAAACATTTATTGATGAATTCCCCTAACAATATGGTGCACTTCAGTACATAATTAAAATCTGTTTTTGTAGGAAATAATCACTGATGACTGTATCTTCGATTTTCATGTTCTATCACAGCCACGCACGGCAATAACGTCATTTTGCTTTTACAACACTTTAGTTAATATTCGCTTGCACCATTCACGTATGTTTAAAACTACTTTTACAATTTAATCTTGCATTTTCTGACGAATCGTGTTTTACAATTTTAGTCGCAAACGACTAATCACGGCGACACACTGATCTTTATGAAATTTCTAATTAGAGCATCGTCCTAACTACCTCCAAATAATTTAGAAAAAATATAATTGTGTATATTTTTCTCGAAACTCAAGAGGATCTACCGATTTCTTGAAGTCTGTTTCATCTTAACGATAATAATATTCCAGGTGTTAGCTTAGGGCCAACCAACTTGTCCGTTAAAGTTTTGTCTCAATTTATTTCAGCTGCATGGTATACTTTTGTCGAATATTGTCATAGAATATTGCGTACTGTTGTCTAGAGCATGTTGACACACCGGAGACTTATACTAACTATACTAAGCAGTCACTCTCTTGGCGTCTCCAATATGTAGTATTTACCCATCCCATAGCTCACGAAAACGCAAGTAAAAGGTTGTTATAATGCCACTTTCCAATACTTAAGCTAATAAAACATTCAAAACTTAGGACACTGTTGTAATAAGCATCTATCTCACGGTAATCTAACACAGTGACTCATATAGTAGTGGAGTTTATATTAGTAGTTGATGATTTTAATTCAATTATATTTCATGTTTATTTATTTTTATTTATTAATAATACTGACAAATTTAATTTTAACTAAATTTTATTTTGATTCAAATATTATGTAATTGTATGTGAAATTTTAAAGGCTTAAGTGGCTTGAAATAAACGCATTTTATTTATTATTTTATAAACTTCATTACTTAAAGCTACTTTTACAGTTTGATCTCACATTTAACATTTTCATTTAATTATTTCTTTACAGATACTTTAGGGGTTTCGTGGTCACAGACTACTTGGGTGTAACACACACACAACACTACATTTTAATGTTGGGCTACATCAATTTTTTCTATATAAAAAATGACATTCATGTTTCTTTCTGTTGAAATAATAAAGTGAGAGCAATAAATGTAAAATTAAACAGTGAAAGTAATTTTATTTATGATGATTAGGGAATCTATTTGAATGTTTGCTTTGTCTGATAATAAGTAGTCCCGGCTATTGTGTGTTGGGCTTCAAAGTCAATCCCCCGTCAGAGTCAGTATACATATATCAGATACTTGAAATTCAGGGTCTGGATGTTGTTGTTGTAAGTTATATGGGTTTCCGGTAATTAAATCATAACACTGAAGAAAATCTGAATTTGGAATGTTGAATGTAAAATGTTAATTATTTTTCACCAAAAAAAGGTTGAATCAGCTGATGTTCACACGCTGGCTTTTCTTTAAATTATAAGTTCACAAAATAGAAGTAAGTAATCTTTCCTTAGAAGATTAATCTTCTATAAATGAAAGATGTACATCATTTATTGTTAATATATTGATTGACTCCAAGAACTTCAAGTTATAAATGATACTTTTTAATTTTAAATTTTATGTACTTCTTCAATGAAATAATTAATGTTAAGACATTAACTACCACTATGGATTTTTCATAATTAGAGCAAAGTTTATTTTAATCATGGTATATATTAAGAACTTTAATATTATTAATTGTAATACTAATTCTTGCTTCAAGAGTCTGATAGTGGTTGTGGTGATAAATTGTAAGGTGGGGCAGTGGCTGTGATGTTTATGTATTATAGTAATTGTGTGTGTAACGGCAGTAAGAAATTTGCCATCTTTATCAATAAACAGATAGCAACATACCACACTATGCAGGCAGAAATTATTACTACCAACTATTGAACTCAATTCACAAAATCTCACCAAGAAACAGTCACTGCAGCGTTCTTTGAGGAAAGTGAGTAGATCTCGATATCCATATTTGGCTATTGGTATGTGCTCTCCCATCATACTGCGGTAGTCCCTCAATAATGAGCGTAGGTCCACTTGCGTAGGACTAGACACCACAAGGGACCGCAGGACTCCCTTCAATTTTTGAAGATCCTCCTCCATAATTGTTTCTGTTGCAATTTAGAAAAAGAGCCTAGTATACTCTTTCACCCATAATTTTTTAAAAAGTGTCATTTCAATATAGTTATCTTATCTTTGTAAGCATTAGAAGATGCTATACAAAATGTTTGTTATTTTAAGCTATCTAGAACATATGTATGCATAGAGCCTTCTAGTACAGTATACTTGCATATAACAAGTGTACTAATGTTAAACATTGCATAAATGTGTACCTACCAAGAGTAAGGTTTTACCCAAGCACTCAATATGATCTCTTGAGAATAAATGTCATGTTGGGCACATCTGATCAAAAATAAATTCAAGGTAGAGTGAAATTTTCCAAACCAAATGGATACCAGTATAAATGGATTCCATGGATACCAGTTACCACAGGGTCAGAAGCTTATTTTCGGGCATCGATAATACAGTAGACAGGTAAGAGGGATAAAATTATAAAATTGGTTGTATCATAACCGTGACAATTTATACATAATAAATTCATTTTGATGTTTCGCAAATTTAACGAAAACTCGACACTGTTATTAATTTCGAAAACAATATATAAACAAAACTTTAATAGTAATCGTCATACCTGTTGATTTCGCCTGAAAGAATATTGTAATTTTATGTAGATTTTCATCAAATAATCCAATAATTGCTACAATATTAGTGTATCTATTGATTGCATTTATGGTATTCTTTTAAATAATTGCTTCTGTTGTCTTTAAATAATGTTTTTTATGGTTATGTTTAATTCTTCTATTGGATATGCAAAGGAAACATAGCCCATAAAGAAAACTATTATAATACAAAGCCAAATCTTAAATTTAAATAAAATGAAAGGGATTTAAATCAGATCTACTTTATGTAACTATACTTGAGACCTTAGAACTTATATCTCAAGGTGGGTGGCGCATTTACTTCCTAGATGTCTATGTGCTCCAGTAACCACTTAACACCAGGTGGACTTTGAGTTCGTCCACCCATCTAAGCAATAAAAATAAAAAGATCAGATACAACAAAACCGTTACATACTGTTCTGTAGAAAAACATTCTAACTGTAGGATAATAAATGTAGAAGAGAATAGGTAAATTTTTATAATCCTAAAATCGTCTAAAATTTTTATTTATGAATTTCGATCCCGTTTGTTCTAGCGATCCTTCTTCAAAGATTTACCTTTCGGGCCGTGTACTGTCTAGTGTGTCTAGTGTCAAATAAAACACAAAAGTCAAAGTCAACTATGTAATGTTTATGTCGTTTCCTAAGATTTTCGATCGAATTTAATTACGTAAGGAATTAGTTTATTTTGCTAGAACATTATGTCCTTCTTCTTAAAACGCACTATTGGTGCGGGAAACGGCGTCGGACGAGCTATTTTAAACAGTACCAAAATACCTGGTGTCCAGCGCGTAGCGACAAAATCTACCGAAAAAACCCCAGTACAAGAGACACGACCAACTGTAGCCAAATTAGATCCACTGCAAAAGGCGCAGCTCGTCGACTTCGGCAAATATGTAGCTGACTGTCTACCCAAGTATGTGCAGAAAGTACAGCTGACTGCCGGCAACGAACTAGAGGTGCTCATCCCTCCGGACGCAGTCATCCCGGTTTTATCCTTTTTGAAGGACCACCACAGCGCTCAGTTTGCAAACCTTGTCGATATCGCTGGCATGGACGTACCCTCGCGCTCAAACAGATTCGAAATCATATATAACATACTTTCTCTACGTTACAATGCCCGAATAAGAGTCAAAACTTACACTGACGAGTTGACTCCTGTAGACTCAGCCTGCGATGTATTCAAGGCCGCAAATTGGTACGAACGAGAGATCTGGGACATGTATGGAGTATTTTTTGCTAACCATCCTGATTTAAGAAGGATTTTAACAGATTACGGTTTTGAGGGGCACCCTTTCAGGAAGGACTTCCCTCTAAGTGGATATGTAGAAGTTCGTTATGACGATGAGCAGAAGCGTGTGGTGGTCGAACCCCTTGAGTTGGCACAAGAGTTCAGACGCTTTGAACTGAGTGCACCATGGGAGCAGTTCCCTAACTTTAGAGCCAACCCTGTAACAGAGGAAGTAGTGAACCCGTCTGAGGATCAACCAAAAAAATAACAATCCATAACTGATTGTGCAATTTATCTGAAATGTAAATTTTAGTAACATCTTTCTCGACTTATATTAGTTCTGGAAAATATTTCAGAAAATTAATCTTACAATAAAGAGTAAAAATATAAAGAGATAATGCCTATTATTTTTTCAACCTTTGTTTGAAACAATTTTTGTATTGTTAGATAATTTGTTAAAATTGTAGTGATATTCGGATGACAAGTGGTGATGGTCCTATTAGTATAGATAGGAAATTAGCTTACCTTCCAGCTAATGTAGATATTACTAAAGACCATTTACAATAAAATGAATACTGCAGGGATCAATTTGTAATTTGACTGATGTATTTTTTTCCTACCTATGCTGATAGCCTTGAGAGGCTATATCGGCGTTACCCTAACGGGTAGGTGAGCTCTCGGGGCTCAAATCGGACGTGTTGCTAACACTGGCCCTAGCAAGAGCAGTGCTTCGCAGAATCTACCACCGGATCGGAACTACGACCCACTGAGAAAATCTGGTGAGAAACTCAGTGGGCTGTGTCTGAGGGTTAATTTGCTCGCCGAACTCTTCGACGAGAATGATGACCGGTACTTGAGGTACCTAAAAGCACCGGTAGTGGATTGGGAGGATCCGAAATGACGTCTTTTTGGCAACGGTGACTGATTAACATTCGGTCCGCAGGATCGATTATGTAGTTACCGCCGGCCACGACAGGAGAGTTTTCGTGTCGTGCCGCCTTCTCCAAGTGGCGCGTTGATGCCGACTGTATATACTTACTGATTGCGTCAAGCTCCAGGTTATTATGGAGATGGACCGATGTGTTGATTTAGAATTGTAAAGCAAAAGTTATTGAATGGATATTTTGGCAGTTCTCAGTAATGTAGATGTGTTCTACATTTTTAAATTATGTTATTACTTAGATGGGTGGAGGAAGAGATTACGGCCTACCTGATGTTAAGTTGATACTGGAGCCCATAGACATCTACAACGCAAATGCCGCCACCAACCTAGAGACATGAGTTCTAAGGTCTCCGTTTTAACAATACAACGGCTGCCCCACCCTTCAAACTGATAAGCAATAGTGCTTTACAGAAATAGGCAGCGTGGTGGTACTGAACTTTTTTTTTTTTTTATTGCTTACATGGGTGGGCGAGCCACAGCCTACCTGGTGTTAAGTGGTTACTGTAGCGCATAGACATTTACGACATAAATGCGCAACCTTGAGATATAAGTTCTAAGGTCTCAAGTATAGTTACAGCGGCTGCCCCACCCTTCAAACCGAAACGCGTTACTGCTTCACGGCATAAATAGCCAGGGTGGTGGTACCTACCCGCGCGGACTCACAAGAGGTCCTACTACCAAACTACGAACTACGCAAAATATTTTTTTTTCGGGTTATTTAATAATAAGGAGATGATGACCGAGCTTTGCTCGCTTTTTTGTTGATAACGCCATCTTGTTGTGTCTTTAAAACGGTTAGTTGCCCTCAATTAAGAAAAATAGTATTATTATTCGCCAATAGATGTCGGGAAGAGTTGATTATTGAAAACACGAATAATACATTTTCTGAAAATAAATCGTAGCTAGATCGATTTATCGCCCCCGAAATCCCCTGTATACAAAATTTTATAAAAATCGTTGAAGCCGTTTCCGAGATTCAGATTATCTATATTTTAATATACAAGAATTGCTCGTTTAAAGGTATAAGATTTTGCGGGTTTGATTTTTATTACATGGTGTCATTCCTTCACTGTGGAAGTAAATCGTGAACATTTGTACATATTTCATTAGAAAAATTGGTACTATTGGTATTGGCCTGCGGGATTCGAACATTGCTCGATACGAATGCACCGACAATTTCTTTTAGTCGTTCTTATTTTTAAATATACTTCAAAAATTTTGCTAGTTAACTTTGCCTGTACAATGCAGAAGACATTTAAAATAAGGCATACAAAAGACCAATAAGGAATCTTAATTTTCTTCTTGCCCCTATCCGACATTATGTGAGGTCAGCACAGCATGCTGCATAGACACGTATCCTCCTTGGGTTACATCTCCAGTAGTATACCCACCGCAACGCATCATAAGTACGGACGTTGCCAGTTTCTTCTTTTGGTTCTATAATTTGCATTCTATTATTTACCCGTATATATAAAATATACATTTCTAAGTAAAAGAGCAATATTCGTTATGAACAAGAATAGGTATTAAAATGACATAAACCAATTTGTGTATTTAACTTTATTGATAATATCTCTAGCCCTAGCGTCTATACCGATATCTCTTGAAATGAAACCAAAGTTGAAAGATGTTGTTGTGGAAGTGACAGCGGAAGCCTCGCTTGTAGGAGTACTCCCACTCGCGGTTGACGATCTTGAAGGCGATGTCCTCGTAGGGGGGGCCGGCGTGAAACCGCAGCACTGCGAACTCCGCGTTCTCGGGGCACGGCTTCTGCAACGTGCGGCACCGTATTACCATACTGCCATACTACTATACTGCCATACTACCATACTGCCATAATAACATACTGCTATACTACCATACTGCCATACTATCATACTACCATACTGCCATACTACCATACTGCCATAATATCATACTACCATACTGCCATACTACTATACTGCCNTCTCGGGGCACGGCTTCTGCAACGTGCGGCACCGTATTACCATACTGCCATACTGCCATAATACCATACTACCATACTGCCATACTGCCATAATACCATACTACCATACTGCCATACTGCCATACTACCATACTACCATACTGCCATACTACCATACTGCCATACTACCATACTGCCATACTACCATACTGCCATACTACCATACTGCCATACTACCATACTGCCATACTACCATACTGCCATACTACCATACTGCCATACTACCATACTGCCATACTACCATACTGCCATACTACCATACTGCCATAATACCATACTGCCATTTTTACAAGAATGAGGAACAACCTAGATAGATTTTGTCGTCGTGGCCTAACGGATAAGACGTCCGGTGAATTCGTGTGTAGCGATGCACCGGTGTTCGAATCTCGCAGGCGGGTACCAATTTTTCTAATGAAATACGTACTCAACAAATGTTCACGATTGACTTCCACGGTGAAGGAATAACATCGTGTAATAAAAATGAAACCCGCAAAATTATAATTTGCGTAATTACTGGTGGTAGGACCTCTTGTGAGTCCGCACGGGTAGGCACCACCGCCCTGCCTATTTCTGCCGTGAAGCAGTAATGCGTTTCGGTTTGAAGGGTGGTGCAGCCGTTGTGACTATACTGAAACCTTAGAACTATATCTCAAGGTGTGTGGCGCATTTACGTTGTAGATGTCTATGGGCTCCAGTAACCACTTAACATCAGGTGGGCTGTGAGCTCGTCCACACATGTAAGCAATAAAAAAAGCAATAAAAAAAAAAAAAAAGATAAACGTTGATCACATACGAGAGAAAACTCCGGTGTCGAGTTTTTGTCGATGAGGTCCGGATAGAATATGTTGAATTTGTATCCCTGGACGATCTTCGGGGGAGGGTTGTCCATGTCGTAGTGGGTCTGGTTGTATTTGTTCCACTCGAAGCCGGTGTGGACTCTGCGGACACAGATGTGATGTTAATAACGAGGCTCGGGCGGGGGTCAGTACGGACACAGTACGGGTCGGTACGGGGTCGGTACGGGGTCGGTACGGAACGGTCCGCGGGGATATAGTTCGTTGCCGACCCTTGTTCGGGGGCTGCACACAGTACCTAAATAACGCAAAATTTTTACAAAAATGAAAAGCTTTGTCAAGAAAATAAAATTAAAATATCTTCAAGTCTATACTTATATACTTATAGTCACATTTTGATAAAATTATGAGTGCACATGAAAAGCATTACTTCTCAAAAAAGAATAATCAAAATCGGTTCATCTATAAAAACTCGGTTAAATAGTTAATAGTAATTGTAATAATGCTATAGGCTTCATGAGATGACCTGTTGAAGTATCTCGGTTTCCTGGGCCTGTACTTGTCGGCCCACAGACAGGGCTGGTCCGGCAGCGCGTGCTCCAGGGCGAAGGGCGCCGTGTCCGGTGCGGGGGCGCCCATGGCGCGCCGGGCCTCCGCCTCCAGAGACTCCGCCCCTCCGCCCGCTCCCGGCCCCGCCGAGCTGCCTTCTGGTCGTCCCTGTTCATACATCGACAACATTGAATAAGTCTGTGCCGGGGCGCAGTGATGTCACTACGGAGTCCGCCTTGTCCGACCACGCAAGGGTTAGAACGTACCGCGGGGGCGCGTCCCCGGGTCCGCGCGGCGCGCAGGTAGTGCAGGCGCTGCAGATCCGCCAGCGGCTCGGTGAGCAGCGTGGCGGGCTCGAGGTCGCGGTCCGTCAGCAGCGCGGGCGAGTACCGACCCGACCGGTACAGCGACACGCACTCCTCCTCCTCCTCCTCGTGCTCGTCCCCCTCGCCCTCGGGCGCGGTCCCCCCGCCGTCGGGCGCGGCCCCCCCGCCCTCGGGCTGCGCGGGCTCGGGGCTGGCGGGGGCGCGGGGCGCGGGGGCGCGGGGCGCGGGGGCGACGCCCTGCTCGCGCTTGAGCAGCTGCAGCTTGCGGCGCAGGTTGTGTCGGTGCCGCTCGCGCAGGCGGGCGCGCGCGCGGTGCGCTGGCGACACAACGCGCTACTTTACTCTCTGTTTTAGATGAATGTGTTGCATTCGGGCCTCTGTAGGTACCGAGCGAGCGACTCCTGGGGCCGCTCAGCAGCCTCAGGGGCGGCTACATTTATCCATTGATTTATCGATGAGTGGTCAATTAACTNCAACGCGCTACTTTACTCTCTGTTTTAGATGAATGTGTTGCATTCGGGCCTCTGTAGGTACCGAGCGAGCGACTCCTGGGGCCGCTCAGCAGCCTCAGGGGCGGCTACATTTATCCATTGATTTATCGATGAGTGGTCAATTAACTTAGAACTTATATCTCAAGGTGGGTGGCGCATTTACGTTGTAGATGTCTATGGGCTCCAGCAACCACTTAACACCAGGTGGACTGTGAGCTCGTCCACCAATCTAATAAAAAAAAAAAGGAAAAAAAAGGGCCGCACGAGTCGTCTACGCAGAGTCTGAATTAATTGAAGCGGTCACCACATTTTTTTATTGTTTAGATCAGCCTTTCCTAAAGTGGGCGATAGCGCCCCCTTGTGGGCGCTAAAGACTTTAAGCAGGGCGGTAGGAGACCCAGAAAAAAAAGACTTAGACACCGATTGAGCTCTCGTTATAGTGGTTTTTAATTAGATGAAAAAATGGGGGCGCTAAAAAATAATTTATTCTGAAAATGGGCAGTAGACCAAAATAAGTTTGGGAGCTTGGTTTAGATCGTCTTAGATGGGTGAAAGAGCTCACAGCTCATCTGCTGTTAAGTGGTTACCGGAACCCATAGACATCTACAACGTAAATGCCGTCGCTCACCTTGAGATACGAGTTCTAAGATATCAATTTTTACAGTACAACGGCGACCCCGCCCTTCTAACCGAAACGCATTACTGCTTCGCGGCAGAAATGGGCAGGGCGGTGGTGAACCCACAAAGCGTCCTACCACCAACCCCGTCTTCAGAAAGTAACGGTTAGTTCTAAGACGACAGCTGGCAGGGGCATATTGTGGACGAGTGGACAGCAGCATGCGCGCCAGAGAGCGGTTACCTTTCAGCTGGCTGAGCAAGCTCTCCCAGTACCCGATGTCGACGCCGTCTCTCCTGCCGGATATCTTCTGCTCTATCTGCGTCTGCAGCGCCTCCAGCTGAGCTCCGGTCTTGCCTTTGAAGATCTGTAATGGTAGAGATCGGGTAAGATCGAGTGACCGGAACCGGAGGGGCGCGCCGCGTGCGTCCGTCTGGCGCCTTGAGTAGGGCTGCCACCCGTACTTTATAATAAACTATTGTACGCTATCCTTTATGTGAACAATAAAGTACACGAAAATACTTTATTTGGCATGATTTGGTTCCTTCGGATTTTGAAAAGTTTAGTCATATGTATTGTTTCGTTAAGCGAAATACATCGATTGCTCAATCGATGTCGCCACTCACCAACGCTACATCACCTAAGCACTCGTTGTTTTTACAAATATTCTGACCGAACTTAACCTCATATGTCACTGTCATTAATTGTCACAGTCCTGTTTAATTTTTTCAATTGTAATAAAAAATGTCTTTAAACATAATAATAGTAAAAAATAAATTGTACTTTATTTTAATACTATGTACTTTTTGTTCCTACCTGTAATAACCAATGTACTTTATCTACAAAAAGAAGGTTGCAACCCTAGCCTGGAGTGTAATAGTGCAAAGAGTGGAAGTACTTGTGTGACGTCATCGGCGACGGCCCTGTGCACGCCGTCCCTGCGCGCGGAGGGCGCGGCCACGGTGCGCAGCTTGCCCAGCTCGTCCAGCACGATGGTCTGCACGTCCTCCCAGTACGACTGGTTAGATTCCTTCTCCAACTCTTTGTAAACCTAACAAAAATATTTGTATATTATATGATTTATGTTTTCTATCCTTTTCTACCATCTATATGGACTTTTTGGCGGGAACACGAGGAGTGAAGTTGTGTGACAAAACACTACGAGAATTATTTAACTCATGAATAAACCCCGAACCACAGCCCCCCGACCCCGACCACGGTGGGTGGCAAACCGTTCATATCGCGCGGCTGATGCCTACTCTCTGGAGAATGAAGATAAATAATCACGGACATATTAGGTAGGTATATTAGGTAGGTACGTAATTTAATTTAATGATATTCGAACAATGGCAAAGTGAGTAGAGTGAATACTTTTGCCAAGGCCTTATTACAACTTCGTATAAATCATCAGATGAGTCCAACACCCTCCTATCGGGGTAGAGCCCCCACAGGGAGGCCCCGAGCTGGCCGTGTCTTGTGTCGGTACTAGAGTGAGTGAACAAGTCCGATTGTGCTGGTGTAAGCTTTGCTCAGCTTTACGGGTACTGGAAGTATTTTATACCTTGATGTCTTCAAGCAAGTCCTCGAGATCTTGCATCTGCAGCCCGTTGAGGTAGGTGTAGGGCTCGTGCATCTCCAGAGCATCCACGCACTCCTCTGAGCTCACATACCACGCCAGCAGGTCTATCGGCTTCGCTGTTTGAAGGAAACAAGTGGTGTGCATAGTACTGCATAGTTGTGAACAACATACAAATATCACAAGTGAGGATAAATATTTTATTGTGCGAGCGGTCATTTCGACATGAAGTTCCTATCGCGACTTTGAATTTATTTTAAAACAATTTTTAGAACAGTAGCATTATTTGTGGTGTGATGCTGTCCACTCGTCTGCAAACTAATAACAATCCTATAAGCAGGTTTCAAGATTTCGCAAATGTGTTTTATTTACTGGTGGTAGGACCTCTTGTGAGTCCGCGCGGGTAGGTACCACCGCCAGGCCTATTTCTGCCGTGAAGTAGTAATGCGTTTCGGTTTGAAGGGTGGGGCAGCCGTTGTAACTATACTTGAGATCTTAGATCTTATATCTCAAGGTGGGTAGTGCATTTACGTTGTAGATGTCTATGGGCTCCAGTAACCACTTAACACGAGGTGGGCTGTGAGCTCGTCCACCAAACTAAGCAATAAAAAAAAGTGATGCCAAGGGTCGGAATGTCCCCCAAATTCCAAAATAAATTGTTAGGATCAAATCCGTCATTGTAAGCATCCATCAAGTATCTTATGTTCCATGATAGCTACTCACAACTTGCATTTTCACATTTTTAATGGTACTAGTGGTCCCCCAATAGTCGAAATTCGACTATAATTAATTGAAATTATAAGTTTAAACATTATTATGGTTCTATTGTCAAAGACTATATATTATGCTTCTATAATCACAGATTTCGCCAAGACTACACTATAAACATATAATATTGAAGACAAATAATATTAATTTATTCTCAATTTAACCACAGACTTCAAATATTTAAATGAATTTTTATGCATAATCAAAAGATTAACATTTTGCACCCCTTCTCTATATTTTTTATAAATGTGAGAAATTTCATACTCCTCCCTCCGCGCAAATTTCGTAAAAAGTACCAGTAGGTATAGCTTTTAGTGTTGTAGGTAAACAATCACAAAATATAAAGAAATAATGACTGTTGGTCTCCCCTTAAGATAATGCTTTATTGTGACTGACCTCGTCCATCCCGGATCCTTATCTGTGTGCGCAGGGTGGCCTGGTGCAAATGGAAGGCATCCTCGTGGCGCGCCCAGCTGTGGAACTGCGCGGCCTCACGAGCGCGCGCCGCCGCCCCGGCCTCCGCCTCTCGGGCTGCGCGCTCCGCCTCGCGCTCCAAGCGGCGCTGCTTCACCTACACACACACACACACTCACAGACATATCTCGAAGCAGAAACAGCAGTGTCGCCAATGAAATCCACTGCCACCAGGCAACATGAACATGATACAATCATAAGATATGGCAGTCGTGTGCAACGTACGCCAGAATTAGCAATGAATAATGTAGCGCTATTATTTTTTTAAATCTTGTAGTGTTCAGCTTATTGGCACATATTAGGCATAAAATACCACAGGGTTTTTAAAAAAAAGTACTGATAAAAAAACTTTAACTTAAAGGAAACCTAAAACAGAAATCAATGCTAAATTCACAGTAAAATAATTTGAAATGATTATTTATAGATGCTATTAACTTATTATTTATTGCGCGCCCTAAGTTCGATACCCACCTACCTTTAACCAAACTGCGCAAACGTCGGTATTCCGACTCTCCGCACCTTATAGCCATATTAATAAAGTCGATATATCAACGGTACGCGCTCAAAGAGTTATGATTTATTTTACAAACTATTCTTATGCACAATTTAAAACAAAATAATTATATTCATTACAATTTACAAAGTAAATATGCCATTATCTATAGTAGTTTTGTACTGGTAATATAAGTAATATGTACTGGTTTACACCCATGTTGGAATGGCCCACAATATTATTACACTCTTGGCTCAATGCCATAATTGAAACCGGACAGTAATGTTCTTAATATTTAGTCTACAATTGATCACGATATACTACACAGTTCCCAGGTCAACAAGATCTATACAATAATATACAATAGGACAGCGCACAGACTGTTTGTCAGTTTTCATTCTACCCCACCTAGACCCTGTAAATGTTTAGAATGTCTGCGTCTCATGAACAACTCCCATAACTTTATCATTTGCTATACTTTATATTTATAAAGCCTCATGCCTATCTTAAGCCTATGTCTATTATCAAATCCTTACCTTTTCCAATTCGATCTTATTTTCTAATTGTTTCTGTCTATTCAAAGCTTCAAGTTCTTCTCTGGATACATTTTTCACACCTTCTTTAGCAAGTTTTTTAGCCCAGACAAATGTATTGGTCAGTGCAGAGTCTCCAAATGGGTTGTCTTGGTTAGTGTAGCATTGGTACTCATTGTCCCAGCCCATACGCTCGCGGCGTTTCCTTTCTTTTTCTTGCTTTTCACGAAGACGCCTCTCCCTTTAAATTAAATTAAATAAAAAGGTAATTGTATCAGTAAAACAATTTATTACTACAAAAAGTAATTGGTAATGACAAAACTTGGAAAGAGTGAAAGAGACATACAAATTATTGTTAGTTTAGTTGTTATACTATTTAACACTTATTGTTTTGTGATATTGTTGTTCTTTTGACTGCCAATTTAAACTTGAATAAATTCTATATTTGGAGCTTGGAGTTAAAGTATGTTATTAGAACAGCATGGATTGAGTACAAAAATTTACTTTCTAATATCCTCAAAGTGCATATAAGCCATAGCAACCATAGTCAATCCACCATCAGCATAATTAGGAACAATATATAGTTTAAAAAGTATTGACATATTAATAAAATCATGATGGATGCATGCTACAATGAAGGAAACATAACTTAATAATATAAATTTTAATATCAAATCCACAAAACTAATAAATTTGTAAGATTTGTAAGAAGGTAGGGCTTTCATCCTGCCTATATGCATCAAACACCAAAAATACCTTCCAATGTAAGGGGTGGGACTGCCATTGTATTGTTATGGCAGTATGAGTAGTGCCATCAGTTCTCAAATAGCAAAAATGGATATTGAAAATACCTATAGAAATGGTCTGGAAAATAGTAGACATAGTCGTCTTGACAATAAAAAGCATTGCAAAGGCAACATGGAGTTAGTTAATAATCAGTTCTACACAAAGTGATACAATGGACAGTACTCATGAAGCAAAGCAAAAGAAATGAATAGTGATATTAAAGTTTACCTTAAGCATTTTAATAATTATATATTTTTAATTAGTATTTCATTGAAAGTTCTTCTTTTTCCTGAGACTTCAACAAAATTTTATTTATGAATAAATAAATGAAGAATCTAACATCCACCATAAGATTATAACCTCGAACCTAAAATGCATAGCTGCTTCAAGATATAAATCTGCAGGATGGTATCCATAATTACAACAGACTACTACTAGTACTTAATGAGGCAGGGACTAGTAGCTAAACTAGCCAGGGTCTTATACCATTAAATTCATTAAGATAAGAAATAAATTGGCTAAGTTCATATCTCAAAACAAAAATGTATACCGACTACGGCATTCAAACACTGGCATAGTCGTGTTGCTCAAAAAAAGTACAGAAGTCCTATTTGTCAAACCACAATGAGTTCAAGATTGTTAAGCCAAATTTCGCAATTCAGATTCTCGACCCATTTTTCTAGTATCTACTATTATTACCTTTTCTCCTCAGGAGTTTCCTTCGCTTTGAGCATCTCTTTCTGTTTACGTTTCTCTTCTTTGAGTCTTTGTCTTTCGGCCTCCAGTTTTTGCAAGAATTTCAATTCTTCTTCATTGCTGTCACTAGAACTACTACTACTACTGCTGCTGCTAGAAGAGTGTCTTTTCTTTTTCTTAGTCTTTTTACGCTTTTTTTCTCTGCTTGTAGAACTATGTTTGGACGTGAGCGACTTTGACCTGTGAGTCTTGTGACTGGATGATCGACTCCTGGACCTTCTGCTATCTTTACGTTCTTGGTATCGTTCCACCGAATGACTCCGTGATCTTTCGATACGACGTGTATCAGTTCTTGAAGACCTAAAATATCCAAAATATTTATTTTGCAAATATTTAAATAACTATGTGTACATATTTAATGTATTAAATACCTCATAGTTGAATGGTGAATTAAAAACATAATAGGCATTCAAAATTTTTTATAAAATCATAAGCTATTCAATTAAAGTGAATCTAATATACTCACATATTTATTATTTGATTTGATCTAGAGACAGAGTAGACCTTGAATATTAATAAATATTAATCTTTCTTAATAAATTTAAAAGAGATAGACGTACAATTCGTAGAAATTGATCTTAAAATTATAAGATAAATTAAAATTTTAATATTGTGTAGATGATCTTGTCATTTGTCAAGTGAAAGACAGTAAGTGGCAAGTTCCGTTTTTTCAACTATAAAAGCAAAGGTGTTATAACATACAACTTAATTTTTAGTTTTTAATGATGAAATGAGGTGTAGTTAATTTCTTTGGAACTGTAAGCAATTGGGTTGAAATTAATTGAAACGAGATGAGATGAGAGGAAATGAGGTCTCAATTTAAGATTGGGGATTTATTAATAACATCATGTAGCAAGACTAAACGATCAGAAATTGGCTGCAAGAATAACTGCATGGGAAGGGCCACAAGGGAAAAGAAAAAAGGGTCGCCCGATATCAAAATGGGAGAACGATATAAAAGCTATCGCTGGCCCTTGGTGGATACAGGTAGCCCAAAACAAAACCAAATGGAAGGACTTGGAGGATTGAATGGATTCCTGCTAAGCATTCGTGAAAATAAACAAACATTAAATACCTGTTTACTTTGTATTTTAGCAGGAAATAAAAAGCTTTTTATTTTATTGTAGTATTATTTAATATAACATAAGAAATCGAAATAGCCTCGCATGCACACGCACACTGATTTGAATGCAACGTATGAGCCAATTGTGGGAGATACTGTAAAGCGTAAATAATTCATGAATGGAAAATAAACATAGGCCTGGAGAATCCAGTCATCCTGTCAATAAAACAATTCGCACACTGGGTAGTTTTTATTTTGTTGCACTGTTGGGTATGCAGCACGTCACACGTGTCGTTAAAGGAACGAATACATTACACAAGACCAAAGCAATATAATACACTTAATATATGACCCAAGTTAAATTGCGTAGTAGTAGACTTTTTGACGGGAAATGCGAGGAGTGAATACGTGTGATTTGTTACATTTTTTCTATTTAGTGTTTCTTCAGGTTTAAGTTAAACTGTGGTTTATTAACTGTTTTATTGGAGTTTGAATATGAAAGTAATGGCAGGCAACACTTGACACATGTTACCATGTTAAGGTTACCAATTTCGAATATTGGAATTAAATAAATGTTTAAAACATAAATAATTGTCTTCTCTTCAGTGAAGACAATGACTTCTCATCTAGACACGGTCAGAGAAACATCTTAGAGTTTTATAAAAATAAAATATTATAATAGTGTAATAGTGTACAAAGTATTTGCAATATAATTATATTGACCATGAAGCAAAGTGTTTTTAAATAGCCCCTCACCTACAGAACCCGATCCCCTCAAATTTAACTGTCCGATATGTTTAATATCTGTGAAAGTGCACAAATGTGGGAAAATGAATCAAAGCTGCTGGACGTAATTTCTCGGGATCCTCCAAAAAGTCCACTGAAAAAATCTCAGTAAATGACCACCATTTTACTAAGATTATATTTCATCCCATATTAACTCATTTTATTTAATTTCATCCCAGTTGATTAATGCCTCAAATTAATCATCTTCATTTCATTTCACTCCATATTATCATTTTTCATTAAAAACTTAGATTAAAAATAAGAATATGAATTTAAATAAGACATGACTTAAAGGTCTTAGTGACCAGGTCATAAAATCCTTTAAAAAAATCATAAAAATTGTTTTCATCAACATTAAAATAAGACTTGACTTAAAGGTCTTAGTTACCAGGTCATAAAATCCATAAAAAAGTAACATAATGGTCAACAATTTTTAGATGAAATCTAAGACAAGTTTGATGTCTAAAAAGAGCTAAAAATGGAAAATTTTCAATCAATATATTCAATTAAAGGATTAATTACGAATGAACAAAGAACAATAGCCTAATTAGAATTACAAAAAATACGAAAATGTCATTCTTGCGTGGTTCAGAGAATTACGTGTGGAGCACGACCAGTGTCCTCGGGAAAGGAGCGACAGGTGCTGTATTCCAAGGGGTTAACAAGAACAACGGAGAACCTGTGGCTGTGAAAACCTTCAACCAACTCAGCCACATGAGACCTCATGATGTACAGATGCGAGAGTTTGAAGTTTTAAAAAAAGTTAAACATGAGAACATAGTTAAACTGCTCGCAATTGAGGAGGAACAAGAAGGACGGGGTAAAGTAATTGTGATGGAGCTTTGCACGGGTGGCAGTCTATTTAATATTTTAGATGACCCTGAAAACACATATGGTCTTCAAGAGTATGAGTTTCTCCTGGTCTTAGAGCACCTGACGGCTGGTATGAAACATTTAAGAGATAACAATCTAGTACATAGAGATCTTAAGCCTGGGAACATCATGAAGTATATTAATGAGGATGGTACTACAACATACAAGCTCACAGACTTTGGAGCAGCAAGGGAGTTACAAGAGGAGGAGCAGTTTGTATCGCTATATGGCACAGAGGAGTATTTACACCCAGACATGTATGAAAGGGCTGTCTTAAGGAAACCTGTGGGAAAAAGTTTTGGTGCTACAGTGGACCTTTGGTCAATAGGTGTGACATTATACCATGTGGCTACAGGACAACTACCCTTTAGGCCATATGGAGGAAGACGAAATAAAGAAACTATGTTTTATATCACAACTAAGAAGGCTTCTGGTGTCATATCTGTGAGTTTAATTTAAGATACTAATCAAATAATTCACAAAATTACTATCGGTAAATAAAAATATAGTTGATGCTGTTGATACAACCATAAATATCAAATGTTCTGATTTATTTGTTTATTACTTGAAACTGATTCCTTAATTGACTTTTTCACTAAAATACTAGAAAAGTGAAAGGTTTGAAATATGAATATTTTCAATTTAAACATCTTCAAAAGAAACTGTATTATTTCAATAGGGGACACAAACAACTGAGAATGGTCCTATTGATTGGGCAAGAGAACTTCCACCACATTGCCAACTCAGTGTTGGCCTTCGCAAGTTAGTTACACCTCTCTTGGCTGGATTGTTGGAGGTGGATCCTCACAGGATATGGACATTTGAAAGGTTCTTCTCTGAAGTGCAAGTTGTGACCTCCACTAAGCCTGTCCATGTGTTTTATGTTAATAAAGCCACAAGTATAAAGGTAAAATAATAAAATATAATTATTAAAAATATCCAATACATCTGAACTACGTAAACAATACAATTGTGTGTTCTGAATTCATTTATTGCTTTGATGCTTAACTGCCAAGGAGTATGTTCAGAAAAAGTAACACCTTATGGTAGAGCCTCTTGTGAGCCCGCACAGGTAGGTATCACCAACCTGCAGATTTCTGCCGTGAAACAGTAATGTGTTTCGGTTTGAAGGGTGGGGCAGCCGTTGGATTATAAAACGGAGACTGACAACTCATGTCTCAAGGTGAGTGATGGCATTTACATTGTTTTCTATGGGTTCTGATAACCACTTAACACCAAGTGGGCCGTGAACTCATCAACCTATCAAAGCAATAAAAAACCTTCACTCAAGTAACACCAGTAACAACTGAATTTAACTTGATTATTGATTTGGCCCATCTAATGGCAAGTGATTACTATTGTTCATGGACAGCAACAATGCCAAGGATATAGCCAAGCTGCTATCTACTACTGAGGACTACTTCCAAACTTTCTTAGAAGAAGAATATGACTGTCACGGTGCTTAGGGAACACTAGTAGTTTATACGATGGTAAAAAGGACATGGCTTAAAATACTTAAACTATTATTACTGTATTGGTAAGTAACGCAAAGACAAAGAACTACATAAAATGAGTATTGCGGGGTCAAAATTCTAATTGTAGGTTTTAAATTTGCCTCATTACAATTGAATATGGTTTTTAAAATAAACTGAAAACATTATCATTAGCCAGTATTGAACTTGTGTTCTCTAACATACTTACCCATGCGTGACAAGCACAGTTCAATAAATAATTTCAAATGTTGTGCATTTTGGAATAGTTCTGCCGTGGAAGGAAGTTAATAATTACAAATGCCGCATCTAATTACCTCCAAACATTGCTTAAGACCTTGTTACAAGTTGACCTGAATACTTGAAACAATCGCCCACAATTATAGTTAGATAAAGAATATATATTGCACTATGCTAGTATAAATGTTGTTAAATAGATTTATATTAATTAGTTTTGTTCTACATTTATACCTACCTACAAACCAGAAAAATTGCAAAATAATTCGCTTATGAACAATGGTCTGCCAATCATCACTACATATATGTATATCTAAAATGGGATACAACAGAAATAAGCAGAAGCTTACTATCGATCCATGCAGACTCTCGAAGAGCATGTTCCATGACAGTGCATTGTGTTTTCACTTATGTTTAATGTTAGGTCTCATATCCTAAGGGACAGTGCAACATAAAGCTGCTGCCCCCCCCCAAAACACGCCTTGTTGGATCCACTCTCCATGCTTTTAGGCTCTTCAAGCATCGGTCACCGTCCTCATTAAACTCTTCAATTGCGATAAAGAGTTTGACGAGGGAACTGACCCATAGACACAACCCACTGAGTTTCTCGCCGAATCTTCTCAGTGGGTCGCGATTTCGAACCAGTGGTAGATTCTGCAAAGCACTGCTCTTACTAGGGTTAGTGTTAGCAAATTTTTCCAGATTAAGCCCATAAGCTCACGAATCCGTCCACGAAAAGCTGAAATAGTTCCTTAGGCTACCAGCGAATAGGTATGCAGTTAATGTTATGTTTGTACTATTCTCTACTCAATATATTTGCATACAACTTAATTTTGGTGTATGTAATAAATATATTTTTGCACTTACAATTTTATGCATATATACAATCATATCAGTTTTTTATCGTGGAGAATGAACATCATAATTGATTTACAATTAAAATTCTTTCGGCTTAATCTTATAGTATGAAAAAAATGTAACAAAAATATAATTGGTGGATCAGAGAACTAATAATAGAAAAATAAAGTCACCAAGACAAAACATACATAATCCCAATAAACTCAATCTTGTTAACTGTTAGTTCAATTAAGTTTGGCAGTCAAAGTTCAAACTTAGTTTCAAAATCAAGTCAGTAAAGTTGCCTACAACATGAGATTTTCTATAAACCGTCACTGTATTTACATTTATTGTACCACAGTGGTATTAGGATTAACTTGAAAGTCTAGGATTGTAATTGTGCATTGCATTCTTGTTTCGATAGGTATTTTTAAAACTGGAGGAGAAATACGAACATCTCCAGACTTACGTTTGCGAACAGACGAGCGTCGTGGCAGAGTCTCAGATCTTACTGTACAAAGATTGGCTGCTCACCTCCGAAGTCAACGAGAACACGCCCGGGAAGAACTACCCCGACACGAGCGCCGACGAGCCGCTCCTGCTCTTCAACAAGAACAACAACAACGTCAGCATGCCGGCCGAGCCCGACCCGCCCAAGTTCCCCGTGTTCCCCAACATGGTCTCCGTAGAGAACGACGCCAGTCAGGCCAAGGTCAGTTCCGGGGCGAACGAAGATAACAGGTGGGCCGCGAACTACTTATGTGCAGTGACTGAATCGATGATCGGACGCAGACGGCGTGCAGCGTCGGGCACGTGATGCGGCGCCGCGTGGAGGCCCTGTGTGCCGCCTCCGAGCTCTGCGGAGCCTGCGTGCGGCGCTGGGGCGCTCTGCTGGCCGCCCGCCTCCGCGCCGTGGCCGCCCGCGCCGAGCACCTGCACGCCAGGCGTCAGGCCGGCCTGCACATTGGCGCTCCGCGCGCTGTGTATGCTGGCGGGCGGCGCGCGGGCGGGGGGCGCGGGGGCGGCGCGCTGGCCGCCGAGACGGCGCGCTCTGCACGCGGGGGCGCGCGCTGGTGCGCCGGCACGCGGGGGGCGGCTGGGCGGCGGCGTTATACGTGGAAGCGGGGGTGGCGGGGGCGGCGTGCCCGGCGGAGCTGCGGCTGGCGCAGCGGGCGCGCGCGCTGGTGGAGCGGCTGCGGGACTCGTGGCAGCACCTGGTGCGGGACCGCGCCACGCGCTCGCTCACCTACAACGACGAGCAGTTCCACGTGCTGGAGCGCATCACGGTGGCGGAGACGGGGCGCCGCCTGCGGGCGCTGCTGCTCCGGGCGGCGCCGCTCGCGAGGGCGAGGGCCGACGCTATAGCCGACTGGTGCGTATGTTCTTCCGACTGCGAACACACCTATCTTCTGCATACTAAATCCAACTTGTATCTTTAACTCCAGTCATTTTCATTGAAATAAGAAGTAGATTGATTATTTTCGCAAGTACACTAGACAGCAAGACCTGCCCTTGACCGGTCCATGTCTTCCCGCAGGTACAAGGTGGCGCAGACAGTCTACCTGCAGACGCAGATCTTGGACAAGGACGTCTCCGCAGCCGAAATTAAGCTGGTCGCGTTGACGGAGAGGTTGCAAGATGCCGAATTGAAGATTCGCGACGCCGTCAGTGAAGCGGTATGTTGTCCCGGGGCCGCACGAGACAGTCGCACAAACTCAGCGTCGCTGCATCTGGCGCGTAATTCAGACCGCTATCATTCCGCTAACAGAACTATTTGTTCGACCTCGTTGTGTGACTTCACGTTGCTCCACAGTTTTGACGACAAGTCCTGGGTTTTTGTTTTTACAGAAAAATGCATCAAAAACTTCTGCAGCGGTGAAGATTGAAGCCAGCGCTGAGGGCGGAGTCCCAGGGCTCCGCGCGCTGGACGCGGCGCACGACGAGCTCGGCGCGGTCCTCCGCCACAACTCCACGCTGCTCGCGCGCCTAACCGCCCTCACGCACCACCTGCAGCCCTAGCACTCCGCCCCCGCCCTCTGCACTCCTGGGTCTCCACATCGAGTCAACCTCTCTGAGGAACTTCGTCAGCAATTCGAATCCATCCAGCTCCCTTGCATCAGCGATGTCGACGATGAGAACGGGGAGAGTCTCTCTGTGCACTGCAGTACACCATCCCCCGTAGCACAGAATGTAATTCTGAGCAGCACACGCCCTGCTTGTGAAACGGGGTCGGGTGTGAGCGGGGGCGGGGGCGGCGGGGCGCGGGGCGGGGGCGGGGCGGGCAACAAGGCCAGTTGTTCCGTCGCGTAGACTTGGAGCCGCCCTCTGTACTCGACTGACCTCCCGATCAAATTTTAATTGTATTATTCATATGAAGACTGAAAATGTGTTCCTTGACTAAACGTTCCTTAGTCCGCTCGGTATGATGATCTTATTTCATGTAGAAGGACGTGTTGTCAGATGTGTAAAATATCAATTAAGTATAAGTTGAATAAAGTGTATTATAAATTTTAAATAGGATTTGTGAGTAGTTGTAAATAATAATAAATAAATAGAATGCTCTTTCAGTGTCGCAAGTTGGTCCGTGCGGCCGACTGAGCGATTCGTTTTACTATCATTCCTGTAAAATAAGCAACAAAGTGACTGATTAACAATGGCGTCCCGGAAGTAAACGTTTCAAGTATATATACGTGTAACAAAATTCAAGGATCAGCGGGCACCAGAAGGTGGGTCTGTTCATAACTACTCAAGGAAAAAAGATACCAAATACTTTTTTAAATTACAGCAAAAATTTAATCTTTCGAAAATGAATACCTCTTAGGACATTTTTAACCTCAACGACCACATTTTTTCAAATATTTCTATTTCAAATTCAATTTATTCAATTTTTCTATAACGGAATCTTAAGTAGCACTTCTATCTATCACAACTTTTATAAATCCCCAAGTGCATGTAATTTCAAAAATCAAACGAAATTTATTTTTTCCCTAGAATGTTGAAAGATTTTTACTTCCGTCTACTTTGTCTAGAATAGTCTACAATCTAGATGATACTATGGCCAGTTTTTTTTAAATCAACGCAACTATCTATGATTCCAAAATGGTACAATAATCTAGGGAAATTAACCAACAAAAAAAGTTCACTATTTCTAAACGAGAACCAAATCACAAATTGTTGTTGTTGACAGTATATGAACAAGCACAGCCTTATAACACAGTAGTTCCCCGGACTGCGCGACCCGTGGATGCAATTAAAACTACTCTAGTGGATTGATATCGCGTTTTTATTGTCATTATATTACTTCCCACGTTACAGTCCCCGGCACGTAACTTGGCAAGAGTCGTTAGATGGGCACAAGTCGTTTTTTAGGTCTCTGGTCGTCAAGCGGGCCGCGGGAAATGACGTAGTACCTACCGTTCCGAGCGTGCGATTGGTGCGTCAGTCAACCCTTGCCTCTCGCACCGCGTCTACGTTCCGTTCGCTCCCGGTTACACTTGCGTGTACTAAAGTTGTATCCTTTGTTTATGTTGAGTTTTTGTTACGAGTTGTTATTATTGTTTTTATTTTAAATTTAGTTTTTGTTCCGAGTTTTATTGTTTTAAATTTGATTGCAATGCCAAGACCAAATACCATTTTACGCAGACATGCCAGAAAAATGGTTTATGATGTGTACTGTCGCAATTATGCGGAAAGGTAAAAAAAATTGAGACTGACTACAGTCAAAGTGACTACATAGTCGATTCAGTCACTGAACGTTATATTATTTACGCCAGTGACAACAGCGACTCTTCCAGCGACGAGACTTATATCGAGGATGAGGAGCCAACTCCTTCCACCAGCTCAGGTGCTACCATAAATTTAATGCAAGGAGTAGCACTATTAGAAAATGATATTGACGACGGCAACACATAATTTTTAATATTATGTATATTTTTTAAATAAACTTCTTAACTTTTATTTATTTATTTTATTTTAACACAATACACTTCACGATTTTTTTTCTTTTCTTTAGCTTTCTTCTAAACAGACATGATTAAAACTAATTATGGTAATAACCGTAGAATAATGCGGGTAATAAGTGACAATTTTTTGTTGCATTAAGTGCACTATGCCCGACCTTTTTTAATTTTTTTATTTGCGTAGATGGGTGTACAAGCTCATAGCCCGCTTGGTGTTAAGTGGTTACTGAAGCCCATAGACATCTACAACGTAAATGCGCCACCTAACTTGAGATCTAAGTTCTAAGGTCTCAGTATAGTTACAACGGCTGCCCCACTCTTCAAACCCAAACGCATCACTGCTTCACCCTATCCGGTCCTACCACCAATAATTACGCAAATTATAATTTTGCTTGTTTGATTTTTATTACAGGATGTTATTCCTTCACCGTGGAAGTCAATCGTGAACATTTGTTGAGTACGTATTTCATTAGAAAAATTTTAGAAACATTAGAAAACCTTACCCCCACTGCGCCAAAACCTTGCCAACTTACGTGTCGGCGAGTATACGAATGCATTAGATGTCCTGGTCGCGGAAAACCGAGTTATTATTTGTCGATATTTGAACATTGCGCTAACTGATTGCGATAACTATCTTTCTATAAAAATATTTCTAGACTCTTTTCATTTCTCGTAGAACGAAATAACAGTATTTTAACGTAGTGACAATGAGAACCGCAAGATCGCGTACTGTAAAATTAGTTATAATTAAACTTCGTAATATTTAAATCAGGCTAAAAAATCTTTGAAGGGTAATAAACTAAGTCATTGTCATTGACGATGCACAAAAAAAAAAAACTGTACTATAATACACTTTATTGTACGTCTCAAGTTAATTGGAACAAATATACTTAATACATAAAAATATTAAAATAATCAGACACCCAAAATATTAAAAATTATAAAAAGTAGATTTTTACATCCAACATATAAAACTCTTGTAAAATATCTTTAAAATGTTGACAGCATCACTAAAAGTGAAGAGAGAGGATGTATAATTAGTTAGGTAAATTACACTGGCAGTTTCCTTGAGATGTAGGTTCGTCACGGCGATAATGGAATAACGTCGTGTAAACAAATGCAAACAGCGCGACTACCGGGCGGTGTGGCCCGCGGGCCGCGCGCCCTCTACGCAGCGAAAGTAAATTAAACAATCTTTATGTATATTATTAAAAATCTATCTCTTAAAAATTTTATAATTTTTATTATTTAAAAAAATCCATAATAAACATTCTTCAATAAACTCAATTGATATAATAATATATAGTAATAATTTTTTTTAAACAATATTCCTAGCCTTCTCTATCTCACAATAATAGCGAAATAAAACTTATTCAAATTCATAAATATTTGGTCCGAGAATTCAAGGTAACGTTCGGAACGAAACAATTTGCCGAAACACCCATCGCTACGTTCAGCCATGTCACTGATAATGTCAATGCACACAGGCAGCCAGACTGCGGCAACCGAAACATTTGAGCAGCCAGTTATAGCGGCCAATCGACGTCCATTTATGATTCTTTCGTCGAGCGATTTGGGCTTTTATCTCGCAAAAAAACGCAAAGCCAAGAAAAGCCACTGGATTCATCCTCTTTTTCTAGAACGGCACTCAAAAAGCTTATTCTATAACTATTTTAGAGATGTATGCAGCGGCTTGGCTCTGCCCCTGGCATTGCTGAAGTGCATGGGCGACGGTAGCCACTCACCATCAGGTGGGCCGTATGCTCGTCTGCCTACAAGGACAATAAAAAACAAGATGTTCATAAATATCCAGATTGGTTTTTTTAAATACAAGAGATTGTACAAGCATGCTGTGTCATATAACGAACATGCATTGGATGTTACAGCAGGTCGCGGGGAGCCCCCCCCGGGCGTCGCGTCGGCCCTTCTGACTGCTCAACACGGCTCATACGAGCGGTTACAGTTGGCGGCGGCGGACTCCACTACACTTACTTATAGCTAGATAGAGTACAGTGTGTTGTGTCGGCGGCTACGAGTAGGGCTTGTCGTAGAGCTTGTCCCGGGAGCGGTCGAGCGCGCGGTACTGGCGGTGTTGTGCCTGCACGGCGTGGAACTGTGCCAGCAGGGCGCCGTAGTCCAGGGGCTCGTCGTCCGCCGCCTCGGAGCCCTCCCTCTCGTCGCTTCTGGAAACGATCACACCGGCTTGGACAAACTTACATACAGAAAANAATAACATTAAGACTTATTGCGCCGGAAGCTGTCAAGCGGAAGGCGCCAATAAAATATTATAAGTATAAAGAAATATGAATGAACTATTTACTTGATTATGAAATTACTAATTATATTATAAGAATAATAAGTTCTATATATATCCTAAGTTCGTAAATAATTTATTATGTGAGGCCGGAAGTGTTGCTCGATAACATTACATACAGAAAAGGACCGTTCAGAGGATGTGCGGAGGGATTCAGTTTCCTCTGTATTTTGTACCGTATATTTCATGGAGTACAGAGTTTATCTGTACTACCTGGAGCCACTATGTTCATCCACAGTGAATAGCTAAAGATCTTTTTTCCAAGTACCATCCGGTTTTGGAATGAGCTCCTCTCCACGGTGCTTCCCGAACGCTATGACATGATGTGCTTTTTCAAACGAGGCTTGCGGAAAGTGCTTAACGGTGGGTAGCGGCTTGACTATGCCCCTGGCATTGCAAACGTCCATGGACGACCATCAGGTGGGCCGTATGTTCGTTTGCGTACAAGGGCAATAAAAAATAACACGTGTGGCACTCGGGGACTGCCGCGGTAAAGCTATTGCAAAGCATTTTTTATCAACTTATGCCATTATAATTAGACAATAATAATTTAATATTAAAACAATAATAAAATAAGACCATGCTATATTTATAAACGTTAACAAAAGCAAAACCTTAACTGTCCCCTTCACACTCATAAGCCAGACCGTGCGAGAGAGAGATGGGCAGACTTTTCATGATGCGCATGCAGTGCGACGTCACGCCGCGCGCCTATTCACAAAAACTACACAAGCGCAACGTGAGAATGTGTTGAACGCGAGCTACATGGTAGGCGGAGTGTTAGGTCTTATTTTCGTTACGGAATTTCTTGGTTCGGTCGCCGCGCGCAAAACCCGCGATAAAAGCTATGCAATAGCTTAAAAAAACAAGTACTTATTAGGAAGGTAGTTAGTTGTCCGTACCGCGGCTGGTGCGGCGGCTGGTGCGGCGGCTGGTGCGGCTGGTGGTGCGGCTGGTGCGGCGGCGGCAGGCAGTGCAGGCGGGCCCGCAGCGCGTGGAAGGCGTCGGACTGCGGCAGCAGCATGAGCAGGCCGAAGAGCGCGGCGCGCAGGCCGGCGCTGTGCTCGCCCACCAGCTCCAGGCGCAGGTAGGCGAATATGGGCGACTCGATGAGCTGCACCAGCTTGTCCACCTCCGTCAGGAACTCCACGGTTATCTCGAGGTCGCCGCTGCGCCGCGCCGGTTAAGGTCATGCTCGAGCCGTTTAGAGGAAAAGGTATATACGCGTATTCATCGCATCATTTTGATCCTTTGTTTTTTCTATTTAGTGATCGCGATGAGCTCACGGGGCTCTAACCTGGTGACGTTGCTAGCACTAGCCCTAGCAAGAGCAGTGCTTCACAGAATTTACCACTATGATCGCAATCGCGACCCACTGATCCGGCGAGAAACTCAGTAAGCTGTTAGTTCACTAGTGATAGGACCTCTTATGAGTCCGCGCGGATGTGTACCACCGCCCTGCCTATTTCTGCCGTGAAGCAGTGATGCGTTTGGGTTTGAAGAGTGGGGCAGCCGTAATAACTATACTGAGACCTTAGAACTTAGATCTCAAGTTAGGTGGCGCATTTACGTTATAGATGTCTATGGGATTCAGTAACCATTTAACACCAAGCGGGCTATGAGCTTGTCCACCCAACTAAGCAATAAAAAAAAAGTTAATGGATCGGGAGGATCCGTAACGACGTGTTTAAGACGACGTCGGCCGTTTACCACTCGGTCCGCAGGATCGGGAATGATTCTAATCCAATAACGTTTTGAATTATTATCGTTTAAATTCGATAGAGATCTTAAGGTCAGTCTTTCTCTTTCTCACCACATACGACAGACATAGTGTGGGGCGCGTGTATATTGACGTCATCGTTGACAACTATTGTTAGCATTACAGACATGATGTTATTGCATCGGATTGTGGAGCAGCTTCCTGTTGATTGAATTAGATTCCGCCTGTGTGGGTTGCGAAGGATACAAGGTGGCGATGAGCGTGTTGCAGTGCCGGTAGTGGTGCGCCAGCAGACACAGCGCCAGCAGCGACACGGGGCTGTGGCACCAGCAGCCGTGCAGCGCCAGGAACAGCGAGCGGCTCCACTGCAACAAGCGCCGCGTGAGCCCCGGCCCGCGGGGGCGCCGCCCTCCGCCCGCGCACACTCACCGGCTTGCTGCGGTCCTTCAGCAGCGCCCGCAGCTCGTACAGCTCGGCGGACGTCAGCAGTATGGTGTTGAGGATGTCCACCATGGTGGTCACGAAGCGGAGGTTCTTCTCCTGCTGCAGAATGTTCGCTAGGGCCCTGTATATGTCCTCCGCGTTCAGCAGGACGCACAGCTGCCTGCAACATGGGCGCGCAGCCAGCACATGTCATTAACTGTCCACTGTCCTGTACTTGACGGCAATTAACTCTATTCAAAAGTTNGACGTCAGCAGTATGGTGTTGAGGATGTCCACCATGGTGGTCACGAAGCGGAGGTTCTTCTCCTGCTGCAGAATGTTCGCTAGGGCCCTGTATATGTCCTCCGCGTTCAGCAGGACGCACAGCTGCCTGCAACATGGGCGCGCAGCCAGCACATGTCATTAACTGTCCACTGTCCTGTACTTGACGGCAATTAACTCTATTCAAAAGTTAAGTTCGCCTTTTGTGCACTGAGATTGTTCCTTTCTGATGTAGTATTAACGTGCGCGTGGAATGTATCATAATATTTCAAATACATAATAAAGCTAGTTCCGACCAACGTCAAATTTTGTGCAGCCGTTATCAGAGGCACAGGAAGAACACTTTTTACTCAGAAATAAAAGTTTTTTTTTAATAACAAAAAATTAAAAGGGTAAAAACAGAAAAATACAAATTTATACCTGATAATGAAAGCTCCTCTGTCTTCCAACAGGTTCTCGTCTGCCGCCAAAAGCCTCAATAAAGCTTGTAGGAACTTGTAGTAGTAAGGACTAGACTGCAAATCTCCTGATCCAAAAAAATACTTTGTTGATATTTAGTGGTTAGGTCACGACACGGCGGCCGCGTGAATAATTACTTCTAGTTAAACTATTATAGTTAGACTAGGGATGGAAACAAAAAAATCTTGCCTCTTTATAATATTAGTATAGAAAATAAGACATAATTTAAAGGTCTCAGTTACCAGGTCAAAAATCCCTTAAAAAAATGATAACAATGTGTGGCAGAGGAGACTGACCGGCGGCGGAGCAGATCTCTGCCAGCACGGCGAGCGCGCGCCGCAGCACGTCGTGCGCCGCGTCCGTGAGGCTGCCCACCGCGCCCGCCCACACGCGCTCCGTCTCGCCGCACATCTGCCGCAACCCACAACCAACAACCGACTCAACCTACGCCCTCAATCTCATCTTTTTTTATTTATTGCTTAATTGGGTAGACGAGCTCACAGCCTACCTGGTGTTAAGTGGTTACTGGAGCCCATAGACATCTATAAGTAAAAGCCGCCACCCACCTTGAGATACCAGTCCTACCTGTGCGAACTCACAAGAGGTCCTACCGCCAGCAAGAAATCCGAATTCTAGCGAAGAATCATTTTGTCTATTGAGATCGTTACAATTTTTAAATAAGTTCAATCGCGACCCGGCAGCTCTCTGCAACTTGTTCATAATTATGATATTTATTGATGTGTTATCGGCAACTCAAAAAACGCGACAAGGCAGCACCAGTAAGGGTTGCCTGTATACGGTTTTTTTCGCTGGTAACCCAAGAGGCTATTCCAGCTACGCCCGGACGAGTAGGTGAGCTGAAAGAATGCAGCGGCTTTGCTGGGTCGGAAATCACTCACCATCAGGGCGGGCCATATACTCGTCTGCCAAGGCTAGGTACGCCTTCGGGCTCAAACCGCTCGGTAATTATAGGGGGTGGGGTTACACACCTTGTAAACACTTTATTGGATGGAAATTTAGTTGTGCCCTATTCGTTATTACAATAGGATGCTACGAAATATAAAGTGACCTGTTTGGGGAGCTTATTGTATAAGTGAAGGATCCAATCCAGGGCGGCCACTTTAGTGTGCACGGAGCTGTGGTGCAGCATCTGCGTCAGCACCCCCACCACGGCCTCCAGGTTGAGCGCGCCCCCCTCCTCGCCCGCCGCCTCCTCGCCCCCCGCCTCCTCGCTCTCGGCAGCCAACAGTTTGATCAGTTGAAAGTTGACCGTGGCCGCCGTCTCCCGTATGCCTGTACGCTCTCGTTAAGGAAAACTTCGTTTGTTTCCGTCCTGGCGTTAGTTGCGTTAGTTGGGGCGCGTGGCTGGTGGCTGCAGATACACGGACAAAGGATACTCTTCCTTGGCTCGTCGGAGTAAGCGTGGCAGGGCAGCACGGCGCACAGGATGCCCGAGGCGAAGGGCAGCATGGCGGCGCCGGCCAGCTCCACGAACTCCTTGAGCCACGTGATCGCCGTCAGCTGCGGACCCGACAACGTTACAACTTAGAGATTGATATTGTCATTGTATCATACGACGTTTGGAAACTAAGCACCTTGATACTGAAAGACTGACGACTTAGTGACAGGCACTGCAGGACCCGCCTACCTTACCTGCAGCAGTTCCTCGGGCGACTGCGCGTGTATGATAAGGATGTTGATCATGGCTTGGAAGTCTACTTTGGCTGGCTCTTTCTTAATGCTGCGGAGGAACTCGTTCAGCTGGACATCGCACCTGTAACGCCAGACATAGCTACGTCGGTACTTTGTGCTCACCGTGACAAACGTGATCAAGATTATTTAGGGCTTGGTAGAGAACGGAATACTCGTGGGTTATGCATATGACAATAACATTTATGCTTTGAGTATTTCTCAGTATTGAAAATTTAGGTTAGTCACGGCGAATAGTTAAGAGACATGTGTTTTCCCTCTCTCGCCTTAAACAAAGCAATCAAAACAAGCCGAACTTACATCCTTCTGATCTCCGGGTTAGGATCGTCTAGCATCTTGAAGAGCCCGTCCAGCAAGTCCGGGAGATGGGCCAGCACGTTGAGGTCGGGCACGGCGTCCAGCACCGCCACCCAGGACACGGCGAGCTGCCGCGCCGGCGCCGAGCGCGTGTACATGCGCTCTCGCACCAGCCCCACCAGCGACGACAGCTCCACGGACCCGCTCTCGGTCACGATGTCCTGCCGAATACACTCGTGGTATTGACGAAGCAAAACGGAGCTGTGCTTGCGGCTACGCTCGCATTATATTATTTGTATCNCTATGGAATGAGCTCCCCTCCACGGTGTTTCCCGAACGCTATGACATGTCCTTCTTCAAACGAGGCTTGTGGAGAGTATTAAGCAGTAGGCAGCGGCTTGGCTCTGCTCCTGGCATTGCTGAAGTCCATGGGCGACGGTAACCACTTACCATCAGGTGGGCCGTACGCTCGTCTGCCTACAAAGGCAATAAAAAAAAAATAAAAAAAAAAAAAAAAAATATGACCAAAATACTGGAGCTCTCTATACTAGGCATATGGTGGATAGCCTCTGGTCAACTTTTAGTTCGTTGAAGATGGAAGCGTTCGTCCGGAAAGCCGTCCAAGAGATACGCAACATGCGACACCAGTACCACATCTCAAACACGTCTCTGCGTCGTCTGTCAGACTCTTTTAAGATCCAGGTCTCAGCGCCATACGAAAAGATTATGAAAACGAGCGTCTCAACAATTTGCAATTACATAATTTAGCGCTGACTATACTGAAATACTGCGCTGAAATACTTCTAAACAAGGTACCGAAAAAGATTACTCACTACAAAAGAATACTGTGACCCACCGGCTCATGGCCAATCTGGTTAAATTTTTCAGTAACTACTTAAAAGCTGACTAATGAGTTAGGTCAACAACCTACTGCAATAAAAATGGTTATAAAGTTATAATGCCTCCAGGCCTCTGGACAGTGGACTCAAGTGTCGAGTGAATCTAGTCTTATAAATAGCACGTACTTAAATGCTCCAACAGATCCCTTATCTGTCAAAATGCGATAAGTAGGCAGCATGGAAACCGTGATGTGAATTCGATCAACTTTTGTAATATATTGGATATTCTTCCATTTTTTTTTTTTTATTGTGTATATGGGTGGACGAGCTCACAGCCCACCTAGTGTTAAGTGGTCAACGGAGCCCATAGACATCTACCACATCTTATTCAATTTTGCAAAGTTTAATGGGCGATATTTAACTCATAGATTAAGCAATTCACAGACACATGCTTTCTATGTTTACACTAAATTTATTTTGCTTTATATATATGTCTCTATGCAATAATAAAAAATGTCAACATTATAAATTTTTGTGAATTTTATGATAATCTTACATTATCTGTAATATACATTTTCAACAGCAGTCACAAATAAGAGTCATTTTACATATATGAAACTTGTGTTATCACATTCCTGTATTAACTACATTTTGCATTTGGCTTCTCCTTATCAGCCCGCAGACATCCAGTCCACTGGCTTCACTTACATTAATTTAAAAAAGTGTGTCCCTGGGGAATGTATCTTATTTTCTGGATGAAAGTGTCCTTTTCTGTCAACTTAAAATTATAGTACTTTCATTTTTACATAGAATTAAATTTGACACTAAATTTTGAGTAATTTTTTCAATAAGTTGTATTATATATTTTAGGATATTACTAAAATGAAAATTGCTGCTTAACTCTACTGAGCAACAGAGCTTTTTTTTTTACCACAGGAGAAAATCGCCGGATCCCCAACCGCGCGGCAGGTGGGGTATGTGGGAGTTAAACCTCACTAAAAACTCCTACCGCTCACAACTGGCGCCCTACTTCGGACCGGGCCGGAGCCCAGTCGGGGCTATTGAGACGGCGGGACAGGGTTGACGCAGAGCACATTACATCCATCCCACCGTCCCACGGACGCCGGACCGGCGGCCGCCAGCGACACGACCACCGGCTCCCTCGTTCAGCGGGCCGAGAGCCCGCCTTGATGGCGCCGCGTTACACCTTCCTCCAGAGTGGTCCGGGGAACGCGGTCTACCATCACCCGGCTTCCTACTGCGGGTGAGCGTGCAAAGCTCGCCACCCCACGTCTGGGTCTCTCCCCGCACAAAACGGGTGGGACCCCTAGCTCTTAGGGGGCCAGGTCACGGATACGACCCCGGTCCCGACCCCCTCTGCTCGGCGGCGGCGGGTTTCTGCGTAGTGAGGAGAGCTTTGCCTCACTCGCCCCGCCGCCTCCTTCTGCGAGATGGTGCACTCGCAGAAGTCGAGCATACCCTTCCAGGAGCAACAGAGCTAATCCAACTATCACCTATTTGTCAACAATTTACATAATTAATAACCTGCAGTGGTGTGGATTGGGAAAGGCCTATGTCCAGCAGTGGACGACTGTGGGCTGTTGATGATGATGATGATGATGAAGAAAATAAAGGGAAGCTCTTTTTACCAATACCTTGAGCAATCTATCCAACAATTCGGCAGCATGTTTCACCTGCTGCTCAGGATCAGCAGCGAGTTTAGCCAGCGCATCGAAAATTACAGGAAACTGTGATAAAGAAGCGCCTCGGACAATCTTCAGCACGTTGAACAATGCCTCAGCTGCTTGGTACCTTACACGAGATTCGCTCTCGCTGAAGCAAGCCACTATTGGATTTGTTAATTCTGGTAAGTAATCTACTGATGCCTGCAAATAATATAGAACTGTATACAGGATATGACATAAATTCTGTAAGAGTAATATTTATTATTGATTTTATGTTTATATGTTAGATAGTATATTCTCCAGAAATAATAGTCACATTAAAAAATTCTAAGATTATGTAATTCAGGGTATTTGATGTAATACATTTTGTAAAGTTAAAAGTGGAACTGATAGACATGCTGAAATAAACAATATTAGTGTATCAAATGTACCTTGCCAAGCCCCACTGCTACAGTAGACAGACCCATAAGTGCTCCGTTTTTCATATTAGGATTAGTTGAAGACATCAAGTCCTGGCCCAAGACTTTGATCAACTTTTTTATTTGGCTAGTGTTTTTTGCATCATTAAAATCTTTCACCATCCTGAAAACATTTTCCAGACCATCACTTAACTATTGTTTGTGATAACCACACATATTGTTGCATCAACAATTTTATTTGAAATAGTAAAAGCTCTTTATTTGCAGGGTATAAGTTCCGTAAATATGCTGCAGATATGGAATGGTAATTTACATAAGTATATGAGAATATAGTGGATATGTTCCCAGGTAACAAAATAAAAACAAGTACATACTTACATAAAAAAAACAAAATTTAATATAAGTTTTTGTCTTAAAGTTTTTGAATATAGGAATTAGGTTGCATTTTTTTATCCCCAAATGGTGAAAATGCATATGAAGGAAGCACAAATTAGGAGCTTTTACTGTTCTTGTACATTGGTTCACATTTAAAAGTACATACTTTAAGCTATAACAATAAATATCTAGTAGCTTCAAGGTGGTGGAACATAAACTGTGGAAACCATTCTGTGGAGAAACTGATGACAATTTAAGATAGAAACATTCTCATCAATGCAACGGCTTGTCCTCGGTGAGCCAAAACCTATTCATTGGACTCACAATGTATAGAATGACTGATGAACATCCCCTTCGACATACTAAATTGGTGAGCTTTTTCCATTGCTTAATATTTTAAACATTCCACTTTGTTATTAATTTTATTAGAATAAAAACAAACTTTCATTCATATAGAATGATAATCTATTTATTAATTTGATAGAACTATAGCCTATTTAAAAATAATTGTATTTTGTAATGAATCTGTATCTGTGACAGTTGCAATGAACAAAAGATAGTGAGGGCATCTGTTTCATTTTTATAACATTAATTTAAGGCTGCTAGCATATTTTGGATATGTAAATTTCGTTTCATCTTCTAATATTTACTTATTTATAAATTTTGACCAACAACGGTGCATCAATTTTACCATTATACAATTTTTTTAACTAAAAACTTGATTTTCTAAGAAATTAAAAAATTATCAAAATTCAACAAATAGTAATTGGAGAAGTAAAATAGCAAAATTGAAGTCTGAGGTATAACAACAAAATTAGGTGAAATAATCGCAGAGGTAGGTACCACCTCCCTGCCTATTTCTGCCGTGAAGCAGTAATGCATTTCAGTTTGAAGGGTGGGGCAGCCGTTGTAACTATACTGAGATCTTTAAAACTTATATCCCAAGGTGGGTGGCGCATTTACGTTGTAGATGTCTATAGGCTCCAGTAACCACTTAACACCAGGTGGGCTGTGCACTTGTCCCATCTAAGCAATAAAAAAATAAAAAGGGATTGAGCTTAGGAAATGGGCTCCGAAAACTAAATAATTGATCAAACTTGTGTTCGCAGGATTAAGAGGAACATGATGAAATGATTATGAAAATGAAAGAATTACTTCTCAATCTCGACTCCAGCAACTTTTCTCTTCTCATATAATTTGTCGCATAACCCACGAACACAAGCTATGCTCAGCGGTGCGTAGTCTCGCTCGGACATCGTGTATGGAATAGTTTATTTGAAATTTACAGAAACAGTAAAAATAATCTAATGATGACCAATCCACGAAATCAATAAAAACTAAAACAACAAAACCATATTTTTTTTATAACTTGAAATTGACACATTTGAATAAATAATTACATAATTTATAATTTTAAAACCGAAGTGGAAATATGAATTCAATAAACTTTTGAAAACAAATGTACATTTGTGTACAATGTACAATGTTTATTTTGCAGTTGTCAAAACCATAGATATTACACTTTTTTTTTATTGCTCGATTCTTTCTTTGTCGAATGACTCTGCCAATGTCAGGTAGATAAAATAAGTGATATCAGTACACTTATTGAGTCAAAAATGTAAATTTCAGAGCAATTTTTGTCAAAGTACGCTGTAATATCATTTTTAAATCAATATTTCTTATCATCCTTTTTTCAAATAATTTCATATTATTTGCCTATAAAGTCTATAAAACACTTGTTATATAAAAAAGGAACGGAGTAAAATGAAATTCAGTTGATTTTTAATTGTAATCAGTTTTAATTAAAGAACACGAAATAGCATTTCACTAAAATTGTAAGAATTTACTGAATCTTAAATGTATATAATATATGTAGTTATTGAGTTTCAAATTTCCCGTCCAATTTTTTTTACTTCATTAAAAGTGCCATTTTACACAAACTGAACTTTTGTAGTAGTATTTGTACTTTTTATGAACAAAAAACAAAAAATGAACAAAAACGGTTTGGTGGTTGGAACTTAAAACTTCGTTTGTCGGGTCAGTTAGGTTTTCTATTTTCCGTAGTTATTGGTTTCTTGAAAATATTTTACTGTTGTAATTTTAACGTTTTTGACACTTTTTACGACTATTACACATTGCTCTATATTGGTAGTTTTCCAATTACAGAGCATAATGCGACTCAGTGACGCACAATGCCGAATTATGCTAAAGCTTAATTGGAACGTGAATTAGTTTTCAAATGCATCAGCAGAGTGCGCTAAGTTAGCACAGTTTTAATTAACATTGATTATTTCTAAGAAACTACGACGAAACGAAAGCCTTACAATTTTTTTTAACATTAAATAATATTACTAACGATAATATAAAAATTTTTGCGATCAATGCCAACTTAAAGAAAAAACACTTGTCAATTTTCTGTCACTGAGTCTGTATCGATTGCGAGTATCACGCGAGAACAGTACTTTTGAGAGTGCTCGATTGTTCAACACATTCAACGTTGAGCATTATGCCGCATAATGCGCTCTTGTGCTGTAATTGAAAAACTACCATAGGAGTCTATGCGGCATCATGCGTAAAGATTTAATAATAGTCTCCCCAGACCATGGAATTAATAAATACCTACTAACTCTCTATGCCCCAGACCGTGAATATATCAGTGGTGACATCTCTATTCACTATCATATTCATAGATTAAAGACTTTATATTGTTATCTCTTTTGAAGTTGTGTGTAGTGTCGACTATTGAGCTGTCTTATTTACACGTAATATTTATTTTGATTTTGGTACATAAAATAAATTTTCGGCGGTGATACTCATTATCAAATGTCGTTGAGATCTAAGCTATGTTGTGGCGCGAGTGATAAATTACCACAATAGTAGAAAAAAGTAACAAATATGCCCGGGACTTTAGTAGACAGGCTGCCCTTGCCGAATCTCAAGGTTTACACAGCGGGAAGTGTTTTACTTCTTTCAATAGCTGTCTATCATGCCACGATTGTGACTAGTGATCCAAACTGGCGCGCCAATATCACTCTGCAGCGTCAGGAAGCATTGGCTGAGCCTGATGGAGAGGCGCAGCTGGTAGACCAAGCTGAAGTAATGCCGGCGCTAAACCTGAATGCCACCAGGAACTTGAACGAGCGCATGGTGGTAATAATAACCTTCATGATGCAGGAACCGCTTTGTATGTGGGTAAGTAATTCAAAATAGAAATTTATTCGGAAAAAACCTCATTAAATAATAATAAAAAATACTCCAATTGTTAAAAGATTTATGAACAGTAAAAAAACGTATAATAAAATTTAGAAGAGAGTAGTTTTTAGTTCATTAATAAATAACTCCATAAAATATTAAAATCTGTCTAAAGATGGTTGACTCTGCTTTTATTTTTGACAGGCATTACTCAAAATTGTTTACTTCAAACTAGCTGCTTACTACAGTTTGCTTATGCTGTAATTTTGCTTTTTAATTGTCAAAGTAACAACAATTGGAAAGTTCCGGAACAAAAGTAAAATACTAGTAAATGACTCATTACTTAAATCTACGCCAGGTAGTGTCAAGTGTCTTGTTGAGAAGGTGCACACTTGGCCCACCTAGAGAGTTACTTGTTTTCTTGTTTAAAGCTACTGAAAAAAACTAAAAATACAATTTGTTTTGTAAATGTGATTTTCTTATAGTTGGGTAAAGTCATCTAATATGAATGCAGAAGAAGAAAATTAACAATGTAAAAACATTTGCTGAAGGACATGGTGTCCGTTAAAATAGATAAATTGAAAGCTTATTTTTACTGCCTCCTTATTATAAAACTCATTAAAATTATCAAATTCATTCAGATTAAGGGACAATTCCTTTGCTTAATGAATTCGATAATCAGATAGTAAGTAGAGTTAATTCAAGTTGTGCACTTTTAGTCAATCTACAAACAATCTACAGCTCTAAAATTTACTGCACAGGTTATAAGTGATTATTTGAGATCATGGATGTCACTGTGTCAATGCTGCCTTCAACTTTGATACATGGAGTTGAAGTCTAAATGGGGTTCTATAACGAATGCACGCTAAAAGAAAAAAGTAGAAAAATTAAAATTCTGTATTGTTTAAAAGTAATCTGGATGCCATTCATAAACATGTAGATTTCATGGACACTTCCTAACTTCATTACCTAATTTGCATTTGGAAAAAAATAGTGTGCTTATGATGTGTTGTCATGGGTGTAGGGTGCCAATGTAGTTCCATTTTTTATTTATTTATTTAATTTATTTATTTTTTATGGCCTGATGCATGTGACAACAATGGCGTACATAGCATTGGCAATTCATCGGCTCGAATCGGCATCGGCATCAGTTCCATGGTAATGTCTATTTTCATTGCCTTTGGGGTCTTAAAAACGGGCCACTTTGTGACTGTATAGAGACCATGAGGGCCAGAGCCTTCTTGCCGTCTTGTACAGACAGAACTGTACAAGTTTGGCAACAATGATGTGGGGTCAACTCTGTTTCAGCAAGTCCAAGTGAAGAGTTATTGTGTGATTGAGCAAAGCATTACTTACCTATTCATAGATGTGTTGGTTGTAGATTTCAATGCTCATCGCCAAGAGTGATTGTAATCCATAATCACCAGTTTTACAAGTCCAGTCTTTCACCACTAAGTTAGTCTAATGAGAGCTTAAGTGTCAGAGCGAGTAGGAAGGCATCTTGATTTATGTCTTTGCCTCAAACTCGGCTTTGAACTTCAGAGGGGCATTACCATCCAATGATCCTGGTCTGTTAGCTGCCTTTGATCTGTATGATTTCTGTCTGCTGAATGAATAGAATCACACCCCCAAAGTAGTGCTAAAAATGATAAATAAAAAGATAAATATGTCAACAAATAAATGATCATTCGTTTTTTTGTTACTATCTGCGATGGGCAGACTAGTTTGTTACACAAATGGTTATTGGCCTCAAGACATAGCTCTCTTGCTCGTCAAATCGGGAATCATAAACTTTCTGTAGAAATAAACAGAGATACTCCTTCGTAGGAGTTCACAACATACCCATCCCTATAATTGTTTGAAAAAAACAAACACTTGTTGAAACAGTTGATGGCCGTTTGTCAGTAACTTTCACGCAATTACCGTTCAAAATTGTAGTCTATAAAGTTTCAATTCCGTCGAATGTACAATGATCGAATTCAGACAAGGTTAAATAGCTACATATACAAAAACATCGGACGTACTCGGAGTTTCTAATCTTAAATTTATTTTGCTAAACTCATTCCTATACTCCATATTGCATTTCAAGAGATCATTTTTGTCACGTACTATCTATCACTTGACTAAAATTCTGTCTCGCTGTGACCGCGAGAACATTGCAACACTTACTTATTGTGACGTAAGGAACGGTCGTAAGGGTTTAGCAGTACTATTAGTATTACTGATGTCCAACAGCTCTGCATGGAAAATAAATCATTTTAAATATTAACCAACTATGTAAAATTACCTAATTATTCTAATATTGACACGGCCGCGCAGCGTAAACAACTCCGCTCACACACAAAAACAAATTCCCGCCTACACACAAACATGTGAAGAAGGAACCAAATGAATATTATTTGATCACCTTCAATAAAACATATGTATAATATATATAAGTTGTTTACCTCGAATCACAACTTCCTCTAAGGTTCAAGAAGTTCAACAAACTTAAACAATCACACTTCTACTCTCAGTACAATTGATATATTAAGTATGTATAACAATATGACAATGTACATATCCTTGTTGCCGTTATTTTGACAACATAATGTTATTTATTTTAAATATTCCGTATATTGTTCGAGATGACACCGGCATCTCGTTTTTACCATCGCACCGCCCGCCACCGGAGTAGAGTTCATCCATACTACCTGGAGCCACTGCGGTCATCCACAGTGCGTTTCCAGAGGTATTTTTTGCCACGTACCATCCGGCTATGGAATGAGCTCCCCTCCACGGTGTTTCCCGAGCGCTATGACATGTCCTTCTTCAAACGAGGCTTGTGGGGAGTATTAAACGGTAGGCAGCGGCTTGGCTCTGCCCCTGGCATTGCTGAAGTCCAAGGGCGACTATAACCGCTCACCATCAGGTGGGCCGTATGCTCGTCTGCCAACAAGGGCAATAAAAAAAAAAACTAAATTTACAAATTCGAAATTTTGTGAGGATGTATTTTGGTTACCCTTTCACGGAAAAAATACTGGACACGTATTTTATTAAAATAGCACAAGCTATAATACAGCACGATCAATGTAGGATAGATGACGCTCATAGTTATAGCAGACCGGGAACGTATTCAATTCGTTCGAAATAAAATCATTCCAACCTTTAAATATAAATATTTAAATATAAATAAATATTTACTAACAATCACGCCACGTTAACTGGTCCCGTGCTAAGTTCGTAAAGAACTTGTGTTACAAGTACCAGATAACGGAAATAAATATAATATTTTTATTATACACATACATATATTTAATATACACCCATAACCCTGGAAAGACATTTATATTTATCATACAAATATCTTCCCTTGGCCGGATTCGAACCCGCGACCCCCTTGTGTAGTGACCATGTCACTTACCACTACACCAGACGGCCAAGTTAAAATATTTTCTAGTTATAAAAGTTTAAATATAAGTACTAAGATTTTTTCGTTCTGTTCTGACATTTTGAAATCTCCAGTTTGATCAAACGGTCTGCATACCATTGGTCTACGATCTGACGTAGATGTAACGACCGGTTCACGAAATGTACTGATTGAAAATGGAATGCGCTCCTACTCTTCAAACAACTGATTGTGTGACGTTTGTGATGCAGCTCTGTACGAAGTTCCGTCCTGACAGCCATCGCCGTAGTTCCCTCTTCCCATCAAAGTTTAAATTGATTTAATATGTATTAATTCTCCATTCATAATGTTATCGAGATTCACACATTCGTTCATAGCATTGGAATTCATACGACATCCATTATAAATTATAAATATAATTTTACTAGTTCCAGTTTGAATGCAATTTTGCATAAATATCTCCACGAAACAAAACAGAACGAATAATAAACTGGTTAAAACATAAATTTCTACAAAATAAAGCGCGTCGGAAACTCGAAAATATTGACCTCATTTGAGTGAAAGCTTAGATTTCATTTATTCGAAATTTTAAAAGAACATTTTGTGTTCTAGAACGGATTTAAACCGTTCTAGAACTTTCGATTGTCGACGGATGGTCCTGGCCCTCATAATATTGAGATATTCTGCTTCATTAGAGAAAAAAAACAAGTTTTAAGCAACAAAATAGCAAGCAATACTACTCAAATAATATTCACTATGAATCGTCGTCGAATGTCAACAACACAGTCTTTCCAATAAAAATAGCAGAAAACTGGCTTACAGCCACAACGTGGACTTCAGTTCACGCGCAGTGACTTTAATAAACATAGAACAGTACTTTCCGAATAATAATAAGATTCGCTCTTCAAAACATAACTGACTTCTAGTAAATGTTTTTATTTTGTTTCATAGATGACAGATGGAGCTCACAATTCATCTAGTGCTTAGTGGTTACTGAAGCTTATAACCATCACCAAGTTGAATGCCGTCCCCACTTTGAGGCATGAGGTCAATCTCTCACGGAATGAACTTCTCTCCGCTATATTTATATTGCATCAAAAGTGAAAACTGCCGGCACAGCTGACGTCTATGAACGACGCTGATTCAGTAAGATAATTTCACGCTGCCCACTGGAAGCTAAAAAACCGTAAACAATTCATTCAGATTGTTTTAGGTTACAGTAACAAATAATGGCGGTCTCATAATAATATGGTCCGTCCGTGTTAGCGAGCAAGTTTCCGGATACCTCTCTAATGAGGACCTTAGGACGAACGAACAGATCCCCTACAAAATCAACGCTTGTGAAGCTTGTGGGCCCGCGCCAGTATCTGCTAAAACCACTCCTTCGTCTTTTGCTTCATACGTGCCTCAAAGGCTAGTCTATGAGCATCAATTTAACAGAGATGGAATACAGCTTAATCTAATAATTAAATACAACATGAATTCAATGCCCTAAATTAATTTACCTTTCAAAAATTGTAATCAGAAACCAACAGTATATTAATGTGGATTGTGTACACATTGACTAATCCGAACAGCTACGCATGTAGTTAATAATTTGCGCGCTTTTCAA